AGTTGGGACTAGTTGCCTGGCCTGGGATCTGCTTCTTTTTTCTCCTAGCCCTATGATTACAAGCACACAGAACTACACCCATCTTTACCTAGTGCTGGGGATCAAGCTCAGGTCCTAATGCTTATGTGGCAAGCAGTTTAGCAACTGAACGGCCTCCCTGATCCAACACCCCAGAGGTTCTAAGTGCATGAGAGCCTAGGCCTGAGCCTACACCCCTGCTCTGCCTGTAGGGGTCTTGGCTTGCTTTTTTGTCTTTGGCAAGAGTTTGTTCATTGCCTTACTCCTCTCTGCTAACCATCTTTCTGAACTCATATTGCAGGGAACCTGTATGTGGATTCACTCCTTTGATGGAAGCAGCTGCCTCTGGCCACGAGATAATTGTACAGTATTTTCTGAATCATGTAAGTAACTATTTATTACCTTGTAATTTAGTCTCAGCAAATAGGAATCATAGATGAAACTATAAACTCTAACTGGGGTTCTTTTACATGGAAACCTATGTAGTCAACACAAATGTGTGTATATACATATATATCTGTTTGTGTTTGGATGTTTGTGGGAGTTTGTTTTCTCCTGTAAAATAGATTCTGGGAATTGAACTCAGGTCTTAGGTTTGGTGGCAGGTGCCTTTACCCACTGAGCTGTTTTGCTACCCTGTAAGTGGGTACATTTTCATTGAGAAATGTACAGTGGTGAGTAAAAATAAACAATATAAAAATAAAAAATATAAAAATAAAATTTCTATATTTATAATGATTTTGAAAACAATCTTTTTTTGTTTGTTTTGCATTTTAGGTTTTGGAGATGGAGTTTCTCTGTATAGCCTTGGTTGTCCTGAAACTCACTTTGTAGACCAGGCTAGCCTTGAACTCACAGAGATCTGCCTGCCTCTGCATCTGCCTCCCGAGTCCTGGGATTACAGGCGTGTGCCACAATGCCTGACTAAAATGTTTTCTTTTGAGACAGGATCTTACCAAGTTGTCCAGCTTCTGAGTAGCTGGATTATAGGCCTGTGCCAGCCAAGTTACATGACTGAGATATCAGGAAGGGAAGAGAGAGCAAATATTAGTGTCCGATGTGAACCTCAAAGGACTTGGCACAGCTTCTCAGGAAACAGTCTGGTAATTCCTCCAATGGGTATGTCAGGAATTACCATAGCATTCATCAGTTTTCTCAGGTATATACCCAAGAGAACTGAGAGCCTGTATCTACATAGAACTTGTACCTAGTTATGAACAGCAGGAGTATTCCTAAGAGCTCCAAAGGGAAAACAGCATGCATACTTTGTAATTTACTTTTGTTTTTGTTTGGTTTGTGGAGTTAGCATCTGATGTAGCCCAGGCAGGCCTCAGAGCTACCTATCTAGTTGAAAAGCTGGCCTTGGCCTGGTGATGGTGACACACACCTTTAATCCCAGCACTTAGGAGGCAGAGACAAGTGTTTCTCTGTTAAGGAAAAGTAACAGTACAAGGAATAAGGGTGTTGTTGGTTATTTATTGTGAGAAAATACTTACACAAGAAACCGAAAACCCAGGTTAGTCTCTGCAGCCTTTCGAGACCCAACCTGAGCCCCAAAAAGAGGGAGAGTGCCTCTATTCTCAGCCCCTTATTCCACATGCCCCTATGCATCTGTAGCCACACCCACAATTGGCTGGTCAGTGGCACAGGTGCCTAGGTCTCTCCCAGTAAGTTCAAGGCCAGCCTGAACTACAAAACAAATTTCCAGCACAGCCAGAGCTGTTACACAGAGAAACCCTGTCTTGAAAAACAAACAAACAAACAAAAGCTACCTACTAGGAAGACTAGGAAAGTCTGCTTCTTTTACTGCTTCATCACAGTGTTAACGTTTCAGGCTATCAGTTAATATTTTTATTGTTGTGACAAAAGGCCATATGAAGAACAGTTGGTTTTTATGTTTTTTTGGTTTTTCCTTTTGTTTTATTTGTGTGTATGTGTTTTGAGATTGGGTTTCTCTGTGTAGCTTTGTAGATCAGGCTGGCCTTGAACTCACAAAGATCCGTCTCCCTCTGCCTCCCGAGTGCTGGGATTAAAAGCGTGTGCCACCACCACCTGGCCTAATTTTTTTCTTTTTTCTTTCGAATAAAGAACAGTTTAAGGAAGGGAAGGGTTATTTTGACTGACAGTTCAAAGAGAAGTCCATCATAGTGGGGAGGATGTAGAGGGTAGTTAGTCACATTGTGACCAAAGTCAAAAAGCCTGCTTTGTTGGCGCTTGCTTTTAATCCCAGCACTCAGGAGGCAGAGGCAGAGGCAGGTAGATCAAGACTATCCAAGGTTATACAAAGAAACTCTGCCTCAAAAAAAAAACAAAACAAAACATTAACAACAACAATAAAAACTCCTCGGGAGGCAGAGGCAGACTCAGATGAATTTTATGAGCACTGGGGAGGCAGAGGCAGGTGGATCTCTGTGAGTTCGAGGCCATCCTGGTCTACAGAGTGAGTTCCAGGACAGCCTCCAAAACAATATGGAGAAACCCTGTCTCGAAAAACCAAAAAAGAAAAAAGAAAAAAAGAAAAAAAAAGTGAAGGTCATCCTTGTCTACATCCAGTCTCACAAAATCAGGGGATAAGACATGTCAAGTTCAGTTTGTGAGGGTGGGCTGAAGAGACAGACATGGAGGGGAGGCGGGTGGAGGGTGAAGGTAGGCCTCTGCCAGCAGGTCCCAGCTTCTGTCTTCTTACCAGAAACATTGGCATCTGGCAGGCAGTACTCAGGAGGGGAGAATGATTGCAGATGGATGGGTTGGTGACTGCTCTTCATGATGGCTTTGCTAGCCCTCTTCCTTGTTGTGAAGAAGACAGAAAGTCACCACCCTCCCTCCCCCTATCCCAACCCCGATGGCATCTCAAGCCAGGGAAGTGATCATAAACCTACTTTGCTTCCTTATTCCTGCTGTCCAGCAGTTCACCAAGCTGGGGTATTTAGTGAGGAGTTTCTGATTCTTCTTTCCTGAACCTTCTTAGGGAGTCAAAGTCGACATAAGAGATCACAGTGGAGCCACAGCCAGGATGCTGGCCAGGCAGTATGGTCACATGAAGATAGTGGCCTTGATGGACACTCATTCGCCTGCACTGCCCAAGAGCCTTTACCGGAGCCCAGGTAAAGATCTGCCTCTGTGTCCTAGCAGGGCTGCCCTGAGCATTCCGGATACTAGAAGACGAGAGCCCCTGCCTGGATCCCTTGCTTTGTTCAGGTTGGACTCTGCCAGTCCTGCCCTGAGGCTTTCTCTTCTTACCACTTCCACTGGGGAGCTGAGGTTGATGTCCAAGGCCTCACCACAGAGCATCCGTGCCAACTGAGATCATGCACAGCATAGGCTGTGCAGCATAAGGATGAGGAGGGGAGGCATATGTCACAGAGAGGCTCTGGCTTTTAGTTCTTGGTTTTGACAATCTTGTGCTATGTATGTTTGACCATTTATAATTAGGTGTTCTTTATTGTCTCTGGATGTTGAATTTTTTCCGGGGCCTGATGGTCATGATGGTCATGTTCTTTTTTCCATTGTTTTAATTTTTTACATTTAGATGTCTGACCCACTGATACCTGTTTCTTTTGTGTGGTATGAAATGTGGAACCAATTATCTTTTCCAAATGGTCACACAATTGTGCCAGCATCATTCAGCATGATTGACATGGGGTTAGATACAGCACCTTTATCACACATTGAATTTCCATCTTATTAGGGTCTCTCCCTAGAGTTAGATTCTGGAGGTCTCTATAATCATGCACCCAAACCACAGTTTGACTAGAGGCTTGTTTTATTTGAGACAGGGTTTCTCTGTGTAGCCCTGGCTCTTCTGGAAATCACTCTGTAGGCCAGGCTGGCCTTGAACTCACAGAGATCCACCTGCATCTGCCTCCTGCGTGCTGGGATTAAAGGAACATGCCACCACCACCGCAACCAGAGGAATTTTATAATGTATTTTACTGTTAATTAGGACTTGTCAGTATTCTTTATTACTATTCTGTATGAAGTTGAGTGTCAACCTATCTGTATCCTTAAGAGTGTTAATAGTTTAAAGCTGGGTGGACAGTGGTGGTGCACGCCTTTAATCCCAGCACTTGGGAGGCAGAGGCAGGTGGATCTCTGTGAGTTCCAGGCTACCCTGGTCTACAAAGCGAGTTCCAGGACAGCCTCCAAAACAATACAGAGAAACCCTGTCTTAAAAAAAAAAAAAGGTGTTAGTATTATAATTAAGAAGGTAGAAAAGGCAAGGTGATAGTGTACAGCTGTAATCTCAGAATTTTGGATTGAGAGGCAAAGGTAGGGGGATACAAGTTCAAACCGCTTGCACAACACAGATGTGATATCAAAAAACCCCACTACGGGAAATTCACTGTTTTTTGTCCCATCTAAGAACACAGGTTGTGTTTTTGTTTTCAGTGTACTTTTGGGTTTTTAAGGAAGGCTTAAATTTTTCCTAATACATATATATTGTCTGTAACTGAATTTATTCTGAAGTATTTATCATCTTGACTGTTTTTTTTTGTTTGTTTGTTTGGTTTTTTGAGACAGGGTTTCTCTATATTGCTTTGGAGGCTGTCCTGAAACTCACTCTGTACACCAGGCTGGCCTTGAACTCACAGAGATCTGCCTGCTTCTGCCTCCTGAGTGCTGGGATTAAAGGAGTGTGCCACCACCACCTAGCCCATCTTGACTGTTCTTGTAGATGGTTTCACTACTATTCATCTCCTTCTGATTGATGGTATTACTCCATCTCTTTGGTATTTCTGCATAGACTGTAGGCTTCCATAACTGATCTTGTCTGGTCCAGTTAGTTTCATTTCCACTTCTGGGAGTTCCCAGGCGTGCTATCATGCTGCCAGTCTCTAGGCAGAGCTCACCCTCTGCCTGTCATGCTTTTGTGCCTGATTTAATTCAGTTGCCAGTGCCTCTAGAACTGTGGTAAGCACTGGAAATAATGTACCTTTGTGTGCATTATTACCTTACACCATATTAAGAAAGTTAAGTCTCCATTGATACAGATACTTTTTTTATTTATTTCTCAAGTTCTGATCATCCATTACCCCTAAAGATTTATTTTTGGCTGGACTCATGTTTAGAGAAGTAGAAGCTCTCAGGACAGCCTGTATCTCTGGTAGTCTGTTCCGGGCATTTTTCTTTGGGTTCTCTCATTAAGCATATTCTGAAGCCTCCTCATTTTTCATAGTGTATTGTTCCTTCAGAGCAGCACATTCCCATTTGTGTTGCAAGACATATGGAGGAAAAAGACAAATGAATCTTAGGTGCTTTGGTCTTGGGCTTCTTACCTTCTTTAAGAGCTTTCTGAGAAAATACTGGCAGACATTATCTTCTTTAGAAGGACTGAAAAGTTTTCAGATTCTGCTAGCTTCAGCCGCCGCCGCCGCCCCCCGTCTAACAAAGCATAGTGCCATCTGTCAGGCAGTAATATCCTTGTGTCTGTCTGTCAATGTGCGTCTGTCTGTCTGTCTCTCTTACAATAACCAAGTTGAATGCTCAGATTGGCACCCACAGTACATCCCTTGCAAGGCACACTGTGCTGTTGGTCAAAGTACCTTGTTTATGGGAAAACCTTGTATGTTGTTCCCACCACTGACCTGGACCGTATACCCTTTTCACTCTTCACCCAGAGCATCAGCAGCTACCTCGGTGGTCACGCACATCTCATACAAAGTACAAATCTTACTTTCATGGTCCACTTCAGTGAGTTTCTGACTGCTAGTGGCTGGGAAGGAGGTATTTGGCTTCCTCTTGGTATGGCCTTGGGAGTGCCACAAATAAAAGATTCTCATATTCTTTGGGACAGGGTTTTAACCCAGGTCTTGATTGTTGAATAGCAGTCACTTTTCCCACTGAGCCATCTCCCTAGCCAGCTCATTTCATTCTCACAGTTTGCCTTTTCTAGTGAAAATCTGGCAGTAGATTTCATTTTCTACTGGCCACATGGCAGGAGTTTGGAATATAGTTGATATTCTCCAGGAATTCTATAATTTTGATTTATATTTTCCCTTTTACTTAGGAGTTGTTCAATAGGTTTTGCTATTTTTATTTTCATTTGTTTGTTTGTTTTTGTTTTTCAAGATAGGGTTCTCTGTATTGCTTTGGAGGTTGTCCTGGAACACGCTCTGCTGTTTTGTTTTTTGAGACAGGTGCACAAGGAGACCAGAAGAGGGCATTAGATCCTTTGGAGATAGAATTATATAGGTATTTGTAAGCTGCTAATGTGAGGTCTGGGAGCTGAACTTGGGTCCTCTGCAAGAGCTGTATAAGTACCCTGCAAGAGCAATAAATAGAGCCAGGCAGTGGTGGTGGACATCTTTAATCCCAGCACTCGGGAAGCAGAGGCAGGTGGATCTCTGTGAGTCTGAGGCCAGCCTGGTCTACAGAGCAAGTTCCAGGACAACTAGGGCTGTTACACAGAGAAACCCTGTCTCAAAAAACCAAAACAACACAACAGCCAACCCCTCCACTCAAAAAGTTTTGAAAGGGTTCAATATGGTTTCTCTTTGTAGCTTTGGAGCCTGTTCTGGAAGTCAACTCTGTAGACCAGGCTGGTCTTGAACTTACAGAGATCTGCCTGTTTCTGCCTCCTGAGTGCTGGGATTAACTGCCTATTTAAGGATAGATATTCTTAAGAGCTACTTAGCCTTCTCTCCAGCTAAACTATCTTGAAGGTATTACATTAAGAAAAGAGTGTGTTGGGCCGGGCATGGTGGTGTGGTAATACCCTTAATCCAAGCATCTGGGAGGTAGACCCTCAAAAAAAAAAAAATAAAAAGGTTCATCAGGATTGTACACTGTGCTTGGAGATATCACAACAGGCCACTGCTCTACAACAGGGAGCTGAAACCTTCATTCTTATTCTTTACCTAGCTAGTGTCAAGAAATGCTTCTTGTAAGCCCATACTATTATAATCAGAAATCTTTTAAATTGAAGGGATTTGTAAATAATACTATTGTATATTTCCAATCTGAATGACTTCTAAGGAAGTAAATGGCATCTCTTTGCAAAGCCCTTCAAAACCCTGCCAACTCAGCATGCCCTCAGCCTGTACTAGGTCAGAGCTCTCAAAATGGGCCATGCAGTGTGTATGCATGTGTATGCGGGTATGAGGATACCCACAGAGATCAGTAGAAGGCACTGGATCCCCTGAGCCACCAGATGTGCACTCTGGGAACCAAGCTCCACTACTCTATACAGTTGAGCCATCTCTCTCCAACCCCTAAGGGTCAATTTCTCAAGTCTCCCAGAAACTATAGAAAATGCAAGGAAAACAGAAATACAATCAACAGATGAGAGAACACAATTCTTTTTCCCACATATGGAGTATTTAAAATCACTGATGAGGTGACAGGGCATCAGTAGGTTCCATAAAATGGAATATTTAATAACTCTATAGGCAGATAAGTTAGAATAAAACTGAATAGGGTAAAATGAGACATTAATTTTTAAAAACTAGGCCAAGCTGTGGTGGCACACACCTTTAATCCCAGAAACAGGTGGGTCTCTTTGAGTTGGAGGCCAGCCTTGTCTACAGAGGGAGTTCCAGAACAGCCAGGACCACAAAGAGAAACCCTGTCTATGTAGGCTCAGGCTGGCTTTGAACTTTCTTCAATCTCACTGCTTTACGTCCATAATACTGAGGTTATGTGTAATGCCTCCATACTCAGCTTAATATTCTCTTAAGATTTTTTTCTTTAGTTTTGTGTGTGTGTGTAGATTGCAGCAAGTTCAAGGATAGCCTGAGCCTACATAGTGAGTCACTGTCTCAGAAGCACACACATACTCCCTTAGATTTTAGTGTTGGCAAATGAGCTCATCATTGAACCAACTGTCTTAATTTTCATGTCTGACTTATAGAAAAATATGAAGATCTGAGCTCTTCAGATGAGTCCTGGCCTGTTCCTCAGCGCCAGAGGCCCTGTCGAAAAAAGGGCCTCAGCATTCATGAGGGGCCACGTGCACTGGCCAGGATCACAGCTATTGGACTTGGAGGCAAGCCCCAGACCAGCTATGGTGAGAGCCACGATTCCCAGAGCTCTTTGATATCATATACCCAGGAACATTGATCCCTGGCCTCAGGCTATACTAGGATACTATAGGAGTGAGGCTCAAAGCTGGCCCAGTGACAGGCTCCTGGGGTCACTGCTAATTTGTAACACCTGGTTTCATTCTGCGGATTTTCCTTTTTGCTGGAGTTGCATTTACGTAGGTGACTTAGGCTTGTTTCTCATTAGCACTTTTAACTTAAATTAACCCATTTCTATTAATTTACTTTCTGCCTTGTGGCTTTACTCTACCCATGTTGCTTTACTGCTTCCTCTGTGTCTGGCTGGCAACTCCTCACAACTCAACCCTCTTCCCAGCCTTCCTTCTCTCTGTCCTAAAAATCCTAACTATTGGCTATTTAGCTTTTTATTAAACCAATCACAGTGAAATATCTTCACACAGTGTAAAGGAATATTCCACAACAACTGTCTGCTTCTGCCTTAGAAAAACAGTAGCAGGTGCTAATGGGGCCTGACCTTACCCTGGGTGCTAGCCTTGGCTACACCAAGCTCATTTCTTGTGATGTGCAAACTAACCCCTCTTGGGGCATGACCAAATTACTGTGCAAGGAGATGAGGTGGCAGCTGTGGGGTTCCCGCATCGCAAGAGCCCTCAGAAGGATGTCTTCACTCATGTCTGAGGGTTCATATGCCCATTCTGTACACAGAGCAAGTTCCTCCAAGGGGCTATGTGACCTTCACCAGTAGTGACGAGAACACCTTGGAAGTTGAGGGCCTCTGCTACCGAGACGTCACCTCCCCCATTAATGAGCGGGATGTGGAGAGCAGCAGCAGCAGCAGCCGGGGTACGTACCCCCATCCTGTTGGGTTCCCATAGAGGATATAGAAGGCCCCAATTCTTGTGAGGTAAGCTAGAGCTGGTCATGGGCAGGTGAGGGAAAACATCCCAATCCAGGTTACCCACAGGCCAAGGAAGTATTCTGTACTCACCAGGTCAGTCCAAGCGTTTCTTGGAAATCTTCCCAGCAGGAGGCATGTGCTGTGATCTGGCAGTGCTTTACCAAATTCCTGCTTCATGCCAAGTTCTGTTGTCTGTTCTGTTGTGCATGAGATTTATGAGCACACGATTAAAAAAATAAAGCTCTGTCTACCCTATAGTATGGGGTTGTGACAGGCAGCCAGGCCAGACAAGCACTACTGAGCCATGCAAGAGGCAGTTAGGAATAAAATATGCAACCCAGGCAGCCTTACTGGTGAGACCTGTCATCAGGTGTTTTCTGTTACCAGAGGAACCCACTTTCTGTGCCAGTCTTGGGCCTGTGTGGAAGAGCAGCAGCAGCGATGGCCTAGCAAGAGCAGCCCAGGGGCTCAGCAGTGAAGCCTCCATAGAAAGCGATGAGGTGAAGGTCCCTCCCCCTCCTTCCTCTTTGGTGTCATAGGGGATAGGTAAATATTTAATGTGTGTCTACACCATACCTGGAGGACTCCTATTCTTGATTTTGGGGATCCAGGCTACAGGTAAGTCATGATAGATTACACATTTTACCCCTGCCATGAATGAAGGAGGCCAGAGGTTTATGGCCAGGCAAGGGCTGCTCCAACACACCCCTTCCACTGCAGGATTCTGATCATACCCGCAAAAGCTCGGTTCGCAGACAAACCAAGAGCTATCTGAAGAGTAAGAGTCGTTACAGCAACAGTGACAATCAGTGGCCTTCCAGCACAGGGACTGCATGCACTCCAGGGTCTGAACCCCAAGCTGAGAAGTTCCCCTACTCAGGACCTCAGGTGAGACCATTTGAGAACCCAATGACTTCTTGCTTAGGGAGGTGGCACTTCTATGACTGCAGGGTGGGTGTTGGGTCATTTATTGTGTATTCATGACAGGCCAGGCACTTTTGAAAGAAGAGGGTATGGGTTCTCCCCACAAGGCTGAGGATTCCTGATGAACAGCAGGCCAGATGTGGGGTTGGTATCCTTTTCTTTCCCCTTACTGTCTGTCCTCTCTGGGCCTCCCCAAACTTAGGGAGATAGTAACAGGATCCTCATGAGCTGGGGACAAAGTAATGGCAAGTAGTATGTCCTTAGCTATACCCTTACTGTGGACCACCCTGGTGGTCTAGATCAGCATCTCCAGGTGTGATGCACATAAGCACTACATCCCAGCTCTGCTGCTCTCTGACAGCTTCTGCCTCCAGCCCTTTTCAGGGTCTTAGGCCTGGGACACAGGTGCACCCCTCAGTTGTACAGGCATGTTGCCAGTTGTGCTGGGATCTCAACACTGTTTCTCTGAGGAAAGAAAAGTGGTAGTGGAGCAACCTTGGAACATTTTTTTTTTCTCCATTCTAAGCAATCAAACATGAGCAGAAATGGAAAGCGGGCATTCTTGTGTTGAAAGCTAGTTGAGAGGCTAAGCAGTTGAGCTCAGTAGAAGCTGATGTGGCAGGATCAGCAGGTAGCCTGGGCTGTCACTAGCCATTTAGTTTGAAAAATGAAAAGCTTGTGCCCTCACTAAGCACCCCCTCACATGGAGTTTTGGAAGGAGTAGTGCCGAGGGTCAGGTGGTGTTAGGGTAAATGGCCACACAGCCTTGGAGTCAAACTGGCCCCAAGTTCAGGAGGATAAGAGACTGGATAGAGCCTTTTTGAGGGGATCAAATGTCACTGGACACAGACCCAAAGCCAGGCAGCAGAATAGTAGAGAGCTGAGCCTACTCCTGAATTCCCAAGCCTTTAGCTATATCAGCACTCATTCTCTGCTGGAAAGGCACTCACCCTGGAAAGGACATTGTGGGGGCTCTGGTCAGGCTTGGGGTCAGAACTAGGAGGAGACCAGGTCTCCATTCCTGGTGCCAGGCCTCCCAGTTGTCTCTTCCCTTCAGGACCTTGCCACACTGCTGGAGCAGATCGGATGTCTGAAGTACCTGCAAGTGTTCGAGGAGCAGGATGTGGACCTTCGTATCTTCCTGACCCTCACTGAAAGTGACCTGAAGGAAATCGGCATCACGTGAGTCCCCTAGTGCCGCTCTCCACCCCCACTCAGCTCAGTCATCCTCCCAGCCTGTACTCCAGCAGGTAGGACAAGCAGCCTATCTGGACAGGCTTCTCTTCCAGGTTGGTCTTTGCGCCCACGTAGCTTCAAGATGGCCTTGCTGCTGTATGCTGGACCTTTGGGCTTTCTTTTGGTCAGTTTGTTTTTTTGTGATTTTTAACTTTTTTTCATAACTGTCACAGTTGTGGAGTTAGTTTTTTTATAGTACAGGTTTATTTCTTAAAAGCTTGGATGTAAAATCTTTTAATATAAAATCCAAACTGTGTAATATGCCTTTTGTCCCAAAACATTCCATTACAAAATTATAGTTTGTATCTTGGCTGTAACTCCTCATGGGTGACTCACACTTGAAGTGCTCTCCCCTAGGTGGCTCTGGTGCAGCAGGCTCTGTTCTCAGCAGGGCTTCCTCAGTGTTTGCCTGTCTGGGAATGTCTGAATCTTTGCTGCACTGTGGAAGGACAGTTTTGCCAGGTAAAGGACTCTTAGTGACAGCAGTTTGCTTTGGCACTCTGGCTGTGTTAGCCTTCCAGAGTTTTGAATGAGAATGTACAGGTACTTTTACTGAGTATCTCTGCATGGGACAGGCTGATTTTCTTTTGTTGCTCCAGGATTCTGTATGTCTCTAGTTCAGCTGTGTGTCCTAATATCTGTCATCTGTGGAGTTCATTGAGCTTCATGGATGTTCACATCTTTCATCAGTCGTGGAAGTTTCCAGTTGCTAGCTCTTCAGACTGTATCTGCCCTTCATGAGGTACTCACAGGAGAGACTTGGCCCCCATGTGGTCCCAAGCTCTTCTTCTGGTTTTCAATCTCATTCCTCAGACTGAATTTCCATTGTGCTCCAGTTTGCTGGTTCCTTCCTTTGCTTGCCTCGGGCTGCATCTGCCTGTTTTAGGTTTTATGTCTGTTACCATACTTCTTTACGTTTTATGTTTTTCTCTGTTGTATTTCCATTTTTATTGACTGTTTCCACATCATCTTTTAGGTCTCTGTCTTTAAGGAGGTGTTTCAAAAGGCCTTTGTCTAGCAGATCTGCTGCAGGGCTTTCTTGGAACTTCTGTAGTTTGATTTCCTGTAAATGAGCCATGCTCTACTTGTCTTTTCATTTTATTGCCAAAAATGGATATTTAAGTCTCATGAAATAGTAACCATCAGAGTCAGGACCCTCCCCTTTCCCTGGGATTTACAGGTTTTGTTTTCAGCTTGTGGTTGGCTGCCTCTGTGCAGAGGACTAGCTGAAGGTTGAAACCTGTAAGTCCCCTTGAGCTTGCACCTTCCCTAGGCACGTGATGATGCTAACTTTGCACCCATCCGTAGTTACTTTAAGACAAACTGCTTCTATATATATAGTCAAGGGTGATTCCGAATTCTGTCATGTTGTGCCGCCTTCCAAGTGCACCAGTGTTCTGAGCATGCAGGTACTTTCAGTGTGCTAGTCTTTACTGCCTGGCTCCTACACGGGAGAATGGAGAAAGGTGCTGCCCCTTAGACCCCACTACTCATTTCCCTACTCTCATCTCTTCACACAGAGAGCAAGCGAGTGTGGCTGATAGCAGTGGCCCTCAATAACCACTGTACTTGCAATGCATGCTTGATACTGGGAGGACACGGTCTGCCTTGCCTACCCTTCTTCCTGCATGCTGGGTCTGGGTGGTTGCTGCTATGCAGAGCTGAACTTAGCCTCAGCTGGCTATACTCATAGTCAAAGCCTGCAGTGACCTCCAGGCTGCCAGGTGGCCCATGCAGATTCTGCCAGTGTACCTGTCTGGAGGGGAGAGATTCCTGGAGATCTCCCTTGAGAGCACAGACATGGTTATCCAAGCCTGGAGCCAGTGATGGTGAAGGCTTTTTGGACACTTGTGTTTCTGTCCTGCAACCTCTCTGCTTCAGAGTTAGGTGTTCTCTAGTTGACTGGTGTTGGTGGCAGGTTGGTACCAAGGTTCATGCTCATGACAGAAGCTGAAGTGCACCCTGATACACTCCTTCAGGTTGTTTGGGCCTAAAAGGAAGATGACCTCTGCCATTGCCCGCTGGCACAGTAGTGCCCGCCCCCCTAGTGATGCTCTGGAGCTGGCCTATGCTGACCGGCTAGAGGCTGAGATGCAGGAGCTCGCCATCCAGCTGCACAAAGTAAGTGGAGAGGTCCAGGTGGCTGTGGACATGAGGCAGAGTACATCTAGAGTTTCACCTTTATAGCAGAGGAGATAGCGTCGGTAGGGGACTGGAGACAGGAAACTTGAAGTGGGTGGATGGAACAGTCCGAAGTCAGATGAATGTAGGAGGAAAGCAAGTAGCCCATATAGAATGTTGAATCTGTAGGATTGAGCCAAAGGAGCCATTCCTAGAATAGGCTGCAGAGAAGCAGACAGGCAGCCTAATTGACTCTCTGCCCTTTGGGGGAATCGGCAAGCACGGGTCTTGGCCTCCTGGCTTAGGCCCTCTAGCGTGGTATTTGCCTGCAGTGCTGTGAGGAGGCAGAGGCCCTTCGTGGCCAGGTGTCTCAAGAGCAGGAATTGCGGGCTGTAGTAGAGAGCTGCCTCCTGGAGCAAGATAGTGCCCGAAAGGACATCCATGCCCAGCTGCAGGAGGCCCAGACCCTGGCCAAGGATGCTGCTCTTGTCCTGGACCAGCTGCGGTAAGTGGGCTGACACACTCGGGTAGTCACCCCCACACACTTGTCATTGTCCCTTCCTAATCCTCTAAGTAGGTGGGAAGTTGGGGGAAACCATGGTGCTTGCACTATTCCTGGGACTCTGACTCCCACAGTGCAGACCCAGGTTTGACTAAAAGCAGGCTGGAGATCAGCATGACTGACTGGTGTGGGACTTCCAGGGCTGAGGTGGTTTACATTGCCCTGTTTGGGTTGCGGTTGGCAGCAGGGCCTCTTTGACACTAACACTTGGTCATATGTCTGGCAGGGCTTGTCAGGCTGAGCTGTCTGCTCGAGTGAGGCAGGACCAGTCCCCCAGTGAAGCTACCCTAAGCCCACCCTTCCTCGCAGCAGGTAAGAAGAGCAACAGCCTGGCTTTGGACTAGGCCAAGGGTGGTAGGCAGGAAGCCTTAAGTTCCAGTGGTCTCTGCATGGCTGCTACAGTAACAGCTGTCCCCAGAGCAGCCCACTTGTGACAAGAGATGCACTGATACACTTAGGGGGTGGATGGCAAGTGTAAGGGCCTTTGTTTCATGACTGACTACTGTCTTTAAGGCCTCTAGTGGAGTTGGGTACAGGGGCCCCCAGTACCCTTATGTGGCAGTTGTTAAACTTGTAGCTAGGTACATCCAGACTCACACATTTGCAGGGAGTGAGGACAAACATGCATGTGGCCCAACTTGCCCTTTTGTACCGCAGATCCCAAAGGCTGGCCTAATCCCCTGCAGGCATTGAGCCTCCCTGAGTTGTCAGGGGCCCTGGAAGATTGTGTCCATGAGATGGGTAAGTCTCCAGGAGGGCAGCCAAGGCTTTAACCCCGCCCCCAGACACTCTTCTAAGGACTGAGGCTGAGAGCTGCCACACCCAGTCAGCTCAGACCCCTGGGAAATCTCACCTAACCCTGACCCAGGGCCACCTATTCCTAGTGCCCTGAGTTTCCCTTCTTTCCTGCTGCCGAGACTTGACACAGAATACTAATTGGCCCTATCCTTAGGGCAGGCATTATGCTCTGTAACACAGAGCCTGGAGAAGCTACAGACGCTGAATGGGAAGAAATGGCGGGAACCGTAGCCAGGAGGGATGGTGAGAGTACCCACATGCCCATGGGCACCCTAGACCACCTAACCTTCCTGTCTCTTCTTACCAGGCTTTTCTTTTTCTCTTCAGATTCCGACGTTGGGTGATGGATCCACCCTGAAGTTATGTGCCATGGAAGACACAGCAGTGAGCAGATGGCTGCAGCCGCCCCGAGATGGAAAACCAGCCCAGGGAGCAGCTTGTGGACAGCAGGACAGGACTTCAGTCCCTGTCTGGGCAGCTTGGGCCAGCCCTGAGGCAGGATGAAGGGCCTGGCACCCAGGTCCTGGTGAAAAGGCCCCAAGCAAATAGGCAGCTCTGGCCCAGGTGGGACTGTGAAGAGAGTGTGTCCCCGCACATGCAGGTGCCACACTGAGGTTTGTTTGGTCTTAAGGTGAGGTCTGGGTGCAAAGAAAATGTGCTATTTGTTGGAAAATAAAATTACTTGTAATTTGGTGGGGGCTCATTTATGATCATTTGACATGTATTCCTGGCTGTCACTAGCAGACCCTAGTAACCCATCTATAGTCTCTTCAGATCTCCATATTCCTTGCTCCAAGATTCCTCCCTTGCTTGGTGGCTGTTCCAAGTTCAAGTTCAGTATTTCTGGACAGGCTGGGAGTCGGCCAGCAGTGGCATTCCTGTTCCATGGTGGTGCTGTTTTACTCTGTACAGGAAGTCTGTGCTTCTGTCTACGCCACCACCACAAGGGCTGAACTCAAGCTACTAGCCAGATTGGTTGCTGTCTGGGTTCAAGCTGGTCATGTTCTCGGACCCAACTTCCACACACCTCAGAGAAACATGTGGCCATGCCACCCAGAAGCAAACGTAAGCATCAGAGGAATGGCTTTATTGTCTTCTTGCTTCCTTAATTCCACAGAGTTGAGCCAAAGCCCTCCTGGGGAGAACCAAGCCATGTGGGGCACAGTCACTCTGAAACCAACCCACAGTTCACACACGAAGAAAGAAAAATCTAACAAAAATCCAACAACAACCCAAATGAACAACAGCCTATTGCAAGGTCATGTGGTTCTGGGCTAAGGGAAGGAGTGATCTAACATGGGTCACCTCCACTGAATGAAATCCCTGAGCAGCCCAGGAACCATGTACCAATCAAGTGGTTGCCTTGGAAAAGTGGGCTCTACCTGGGCCTCCAGCAGTCAGGAACAGACTCACACAGGACAGCCTGAACCCTGGGATGGGTGAGAGCATACTCAGTTTGGAAAGTCAGGCCCAAGCCACCCCACTGAACAACCTGAGAGGGTAGCTAGGTCCCAGGGACTACTTGGGACAATAAAGATGAACAGCTGCCTGCTTGTCCCTCGCAGTCAGAAAGGTTGCAAAACCAAACACACTAGAAGGCACGCTTCTCGGGAATTCCAGGGCCTGTGGGCAGAGACAGCCAAGGGAGGGCAAGAACCGCACAGGAACCTCCTCAGGATGAGGCAGGGAGCAGCTTTTCTAGGGCCTTCTTCTGTTTTTCTGTGGCTGAGGCCAAGGCCTCTGCCAGCTTTTCCGAAGGCATCATGTTGAGTACCTTAAGGGCGAATAGGAGCTGGTACTTGGCAGTGCTGACGAAGGCATTGCTCAGGAAGTTAGGAAAGCCGCCTACTCGATCCTTCTGGGTGTACAGTGGGACGCGTACAAGGCCCAGCACCTGTGGGGCAGAGGGCATGGGGTGGGACTGGGCTCTCCTTACAGAGGTAGGTAGGACCCTGGCAGAGATGTTTCAAAGAGATGGGGAAACCCCGGCAGGGTCTGGCCTGGCAAGGCTAGTGGTGGTAAAGCCTAGGGACTCATCCACCCACCCACGACTCCTGGCCTCACTCCAAACCCCTTAGACCAGAGAACCCACAGACCCCAGAAGCCTTCATTCACATTACCTCTTGGGAAACAACCCCAAGCCCTGAAACCTATCCGTTTTGGTCTGTCCTCAGTTTCCCAAGGAGGCCCTGACTATCCCTTCTTGCTAGTGATCCCATGCCCCACTCCCAGGATTGACAATGGCAGGCAGCAAGGCAAATGTAAACAGCCCCGGACCCAGAGCCCAAGTCTCTCTTCCCACCCAGCATGGCCAGGGTGAGGACCCTGAGGGGCACTTGTTACCACATCGGTGCCTTCTGTGGTGCCAGAGCCAAACCTCAGGAGTGGGGATAGGGCGGTCCCCAGGCAGTGGTCCCACCTCCAGACCGTGGTCCCGCGAGTGCACGGCACTGATCTCCACAGCATGCAGCTGCTCCAGTGTCAGCTGCCGTGCATACAGATGTGCCACCACGCGCTGTGGACCCTCAGTCAGATGTGAGCTCAGGTAGTCGGCTTCGGTAAGGCGCAGGCCGCCCAAACCCAGGCCTAGCACCCGGTTCAAGCCGTCCTCCAGCGACCAGAAGCGCCGGTCCACAAAACCCCCAGGGAAGCCCAGCAGCCCGTCGAAGCGCATCTGCATCTGCAAGATAAGTCGGATCAGGACGCGGGGTCCACAGAGCGCCCCAAGCCTGTGTCTGCCCGCTCACCCACCCAGCTCCTCACCAGCACTGAAAATCGCATGGGAATACGACCGAAGAGCTGCCCGGGGTTAGCAGCATACAACATGGCGTGGCACGAGTGGCTCCAGCCGGGGCCCAAGCGCATTGCTTCCTCCCGGCTGATCTGCTTTAGCTCTGGAACCGTCGTGGTCGACATCTTGATACGCTCCAGGCCCACCGCCCAAATGAGCATGCGCGGCCCCACCCACGACACACAGGCCCAATCCACGTGCATCCACGTGCATGGGCCCGCCCCCACCAATCCTAAGAGCCTGGCGGGAGGGTGGAGTTTGCTACCCTCCAAGCTGCACAGGAGACCGCCTCCACAGACCAGAAAACTACAATTCCCAAGATGCACTGTGCGAAGCCAGGTCATCAGGAGGAGGTACACTGAGCATCAAGATGTGCCAGTCTCTGAGTCCCAGACATCCCTAAGTGGACAGCTTCAACTCTCAATGTCCACTTCATCTCTGAGGATGCAGATGTTCCCGAGCCTCGACCCGGAGCTCATGGATCCACTGTCTGCCCTGTGAAACCACGCCTTTAAAGGCCAGCCTGGTCTCCAGAGCGAGTTCCAAGACAGCCTCCAAAACAATACAGAGAAACCCTGTCTCGAAAAACCAAAAAAAAAAAAAAAAAAGATTTAAACATGGGGCAGAATTAGAAAAAAAAAAACCAACCTGAGTAAGGTAACCCAAAACTAGAAAGACAGATACAGTATATACTAATTCATAAGGGATACCAGACATAAAGTAAAAGATACCCAGCCTACAATCCACAACTCCAGGGAAGTTAGAACCTTCTTCCAAAAAAAAGACGGGAGCAGAGGCAGAAATTCATAACTAACCAATGGACCAAGCTCCTGGAGTACAATCAAAGTGAGGGAGAAGCCATAATATGAACAAAGGAGTCAAGACCATGATGGGGAAACCCACAGAATCAGCTGACGCGAGCTGGTGAGAGATCACTGACTCCGGTCTGACAAATGGGGAACCTGCATAAGACTGAACTAGACTCCCTTAATATAGGTGACAATGGTGTGACTGGGACAATATATGAGGCCACTGGCAGTGGGTCCAAGACCTAACACTAACGCACACACTGACTTAGTGGAGCCCATTCTATAGGAGAGATACCTTGCCCAGCCTAGACACAGGGTGTGGGGGTGGAGAGGTGCCGTGGTCGTGCCTCAATGAGATGGGACAGACTTAGTAGACTTCCTAGGGGAGACCTTATCCCCTCTGAGGAGCAGATGGGAGGTGGGGAAGGAGTGGGGAGAGCAGAAAGAGAGGCAGGAGGAGGAACTGGGACTGAAATGTAAAAAATAATAATAATAAAAGATTTAAGCATCTAAGTGGTTCCATTTGCTCTCCTCTTGGCACATGGCTAGTGTTCAGGAGACATCAGAAGAGCTGGGGTGGATGTAACAACCGGGACAACCTGCCCACCTGGAGGCTGAGATCCACCAATCGCTCAGAAGAGGTGAGCGACCAGAAGCCACTCAGTGTCCTGCCTCTACTTCAAGGACCGACTGCCTGCCCATGTGCTGTGCCAGAACAAAGGCACACAGAGAATATTGCTGCATGATTTTATTACTATAAATATACAGTAAAAACCAAAACCTAGCCAATCAGAGTACATCAAATGATAGCACATGTGAATCTGAGACACGTGAGTGTGTAGTCTGCATCCCATCTTTCAAAGTACTGGCACCAGTACCATGGCCAGAGGCCAGGGAGTTGGCAGGTGAGGGGCGGGTGGGCATGCACATGCTGAAGTGTGCATATGTGTGCGTTCAGCAGGGGGCAGATGGATGTGCAGGCAAGGCTCTGCTACAGGCTTACAGAGACCAGGCCAGCCACTGCCAGAAAGGGGCAGAGCTAGAGCCAGAGCTCAAGCAACCCTGAGCCTAAAAGGGGGCTCCATGCATTGCTACAGGTTGTCACCTAGGTAAGTGGCAGGGCAGCCTCACTGCCTAGGCACCTCTGCCCAGGGGCCACCCATGGGCCTTTTGCCTTAAAGACAAAGTATCACTGGGACTCTGCTCATAGGTGGACTCTGAGAGAAGCCTTAGACAATTAACCAATGAGAAACGCAAAGGGACATGTACCCACCACTGGGTCTGTTATGGGAGCTGATCAGGCTCTTCCCTGGCAAGAGGGTGGGCAGTGCTGTCCTGCGAGCATGAACATCTCCATCTTGGAGGCATGTGAGGGACTGAGTGAGGGTACTGGATACCAACCAATGCAAATGGCTGTGCTGTTCACATATCGACTTCCTAGTCTTGCCCACAGCTGCCCCAGCTGCCAGACGTCACTAATAGGTTGAAGAGCAGAGCAGGAGGGGGCCTGGAGGTTCTAGGGAGGCTCACCCATGGACAGGACATAAAAGGTGGGAACAGCAGCGACAGCCTGGCTGCTTTGGAGGACACACAGGACAGGTAGACAGGCACTGTTTCCTTCATCAACTGTAACCTGGGTTGTCCACCTTCCAGAACATCTGTGAGGATGACACTTCACTCCATGGGTAGATTCTCTTCTGCTGGTTTGCTAAGTGCTCAGAGCATCAACCTTGGCAGTTGGGAGCCCCTCTAGGGCCTATGGCCCATGGAGAAAGCTGCCGTCCTTCATCTTGTACCAATTACAAATATATAGACCATAGAAAAGGAGGGTGTGTGGAAGAGTAGTCCACTGTGCAATTTGATAAAGGTTCACTATGGCCTCTCAAAGCCCAGTGGCCACATCAGGTGTGCAGACAGGAGAGGCCAGGGTCTCACTGGGCTCCGGGGAAGCCTCCTGGCAATTTTGGGGATACTGAGGGCTCTGTGCTGCCAGCTGAACCAGGCTCTCAGAGTGGGGTCAGCTCAGTAGCTCCAGGCTCAGAACTAGAGCCACTCAGCAGAGGCCAGGGGGAGCTGGTGGTGCCGAGGCTGTGTGGCGTCTCCATGGAGGTGGACCATCCTGTAGAGGAGCAGAGTAAGGAGGGGTCATGATGGGCTGCTGGTCACATCTCTGGTCCCATCAACCCAGAGCCTCATGGGGGCAGGACCACCTAGCACCCTCTACCTTGTAGCCAGGTACATGCCATTGGCAGGTATAGTAGATGTGACCTCATAGAAGGCTAGGGATCCTTCAGTCCTAGGCAGTGAGTTACATGTCTTCTGTACTGGGACAGATGATCCCCCTTCAGGACCAGGCAGTAGAGCTGCAGGCAAAGGGTAGCTGTGGGCTACTGGCCCCTGGGTCTCCTAACTTGGACTACCATTCCTGGAACTCAGCAGCAGAGTCCCTGCCAAGAACTTTGAAACTGGGTTAGCTGGAGCTCAGCCAGCTCTAGCACAGGGCAAGTGAGCAGATGGGGACAAAGCAAGGTGGTTCTGGGTCCACTGGAGCAGAAGAGGCCCCAGAGCCCGTCTGTCTTCCAGAGGCCTGCTCTGCTGTGTCCCAGACATCAGCTCTGTGGGGCTGTGTGGTGTTATCCCAGGGCAAGGGTTGTTCTCAAGAGGCATTGGTGACACAAACAAACCAGTCCTACCCTCCTTTTTAGGAGCTGTGGCCTCATGAAAGGCAACATTATGTGGTGCAGTCCCCAGCTGTGGCCTAACTTCTAACTGCTCAAGTTCAACCTAAACCCTTCCTCCTATAGAAGCTACAAATAACAGCATTTTTGTTTATGGAGCACAGCTCCAGGGGGACACTCAAGTCCTGAGAAACCCTGAACCCCAACAAAACCAAAGACGGCCTGGCTCTCTGGCTGATGGGAGAGGCCTGCAGCCTAGAGGTCTGGACACCAACGAGGCACATCCCAGACATGCTGTGTGAACCTGCCATGGTGCCATCCTTTTGGGGAACCCTGACACAAAAGGTTACCAACCCTTCTATAAGAACCTCAAGAAGAAAGAGTCCCCGCCTGTAGGCCTAGTTTACAGGGATGCTTCTGTAACCAGCAATCTGGGCCACCATGACCAAGTAGCTACCTATCCAACAGGGCACCCACCCATTGGTCACTAAGACGTGTGTGTGTGCAGCAGAAGGTACCAGAGAGAAGATGGACATGTTCTCAGTGGCAATGATGGTCTCAAGACAAAAAAAATCTCAACAGTGCACGAGAGAACGCTATATGCCAGATAAAGGGACAGAGGCCACAGTGACAAGTGAAGGAAGGCATGAAGAATGCCCCTGGACAGGAAGCAAAGAGAGTTTTTTGTTTTGAGAAAGGGTTTTTTTTGTGTAGTCCTGGCTAGCCTGGAACTCAAGAGATCTGTCTGCTTCTGCCTCCCAAGTTGCCACCACACCTGGCATTTTGTTTTGTTTTGTTTTTGAAACAGGGTTTCTCTGTATTGCTTTGGAGCCTGTCCTGGACCTCGCTCAGTAGATCAGGCTGGCCTTGAACTCAGAGATGCACCTGCCTCTGCCTCCCGAGTGCTGGGATTAAAGGAATGCACCACCACTGCCCGACCTGGCATTATCTTTTAACGTATATTTTTATTTTCATTTTATGTATGAGTGTTTTGCCTGCACATATCTCTGTACAGAAGTTGCATGCCTGGTGCCCAGAGAGGCCAGAAGACAGTGTCCAATCCCTTGAACTGGAGTTATAGATGGTTGTGAGCTGCCATGTGGGTGCTGGGAATTTAACCAGAGTATTCTGGAAGAGCAGTCTTAAACACTGAGTCTTCCCTCCAGCCCCACAGAACACAACAGACCTAGGAGGACATACATGTTCCACAGACAGGAACATTGATGGGAATGGGTGATCTAGAGTCTCCCATGGCTTGTGCAAATCTGAACTACTGCTTAAAACAACAACCATAGCTGAGGCAGGAGGAATATATATTTAGGCTACAGAACAAGTTCAAGACCAGTCTAGGGAATTTAATAAGATCCTGTCTGTCTCCAGGGGCAGGCCTAAAATACTAAACAGTAGAGTATGTCCTACCTAGATCCAATCCCCACTACTGAATTTTTTTTTGTTTTGTTTTGTTTTTCAAGATAGGGTTTCTCTGTGGCTTTTGGAGGCTGTCCTGGAACTAGCTCTTGTAGACCAGGTTGGTCTCAAACTCACAGAGATCTGCCTGCCTCTCCCTCCCGAGTGCTAGGACTAAAGGCATGCGCCACCAATGCCCGGCTTGAATTTTTGTTTTTAAAATCCACAGTGAGACTACTGTGTGCAGCCCCAGGATGCTGTTCCACATGTTTCTAGGCTCCCTGATCCTCCAATTACTTCCTCCTATCAGGAACAGCAACTCCAGAAGCCCGGGCTGAGTCACTATTCAAAGGACTCTACATTATTATTTGGAAGAGCCTGGATGAGCACCTGTGTAGATGGGAGACCCTCTGGCTCCAAAGCCAGGACCCCAGGAGACCACCTTTCAGACACAAAGGTATAGCAGTCACCAGTGATTTCTGGACTCTGAATGCAAAAGAACCCTCAGGGGACTGGGCTCTTCTCTGGAGATATACCCAGCCAAGCCACCAGAAGTGTGGAGGAAAGGTCACGTACCAGCTTACTCCTCTATACCAACAGAGCAGGACTCAGGACCCAGGGCTGTGCAGAGAGGAGGGAGAGACAGATGGAGCTCAGTTAGCAGAAAGACATGGACTTTAGGGTCAGGAACTGACTAGAAACAGACTGCCCACACATTGCCTCCTACAACCAAGAAGTAAGTACAACCAGGACAGATCCTGGACAACTTTCTAGCCAAGAGAGAGACGTGTATGTTGTGAAAGCAGCAGGCAGAGTTCCTCTTGTGGCTATGGAAACCAGGCCTCTGGACCAGGGAGAGCACTTAGCAGAGGACTTCCCCATCTCTAGGGGACTTGGATTCAGTGACTTCAGCAGCATCCAGGAGGAAATGGTGCCCTTGTCAGAAAGTAAAGACACCATTTGCATGTATGCTCCTCACAAAGATGAAAGATATGCAGCCTTCTCCGACAAGAGCCAGCAGAAAAGACAGTAGGTGCCATCATGTAAGGAGCGACATGCAGGGATGTACAGGCTGCCACACAAGCCCCTCCCCCGCCCCCAGCACTGACACACATCAATGGTAGCTCCAACAAGATGTGCAGAGATAGCAACCTGGCTTCCTGTCACAGAGCAAGCCTGTATAATGGGTGGTTCTCAGAGCGGCTAGGATCCAGAAGCAGTCCCTGTGCAGAACTGGCCAAGGCCAGCTCTTCCCCAACTGTACACGCAGATCTCATGTCTCCTACAGCTTCTCCAGCTGACTGCTGCCCACCTATTTGGTGAACTTAAATGAGGCCTGAGACCCTTGCCTAGAGTTGTCTCTGTGGCCAGTCCTGATGCACTGCAGGTCACACGGGATGAGATATTTTCTGCTGCACAGTAAAGGTGCTTTCAAGCCCACCTGCAGGAGCAAAGCTCATACTGGTAACTCAAAAGACTCAGGGACCTTTCCCAACTCCCTGCTTAATCAAATTTACAATAAAGATGGGTACTTGTGGTGCTTCCAAGAACATACTGGAATTGTGCCTTTAGGGCATGCTGGTTCCAAACATGCTTCGCCTATGGGTTTGTTTTGGATAGGCCATAGTGATCCAGTAAGATGACCCATAGCTACTCTCCCACACCTGATGACCCTCCTATGGGTCACTTCACATCCAGAAGACAGGGGCAGATGGGAGGCCCTATTCACCAAAGGATGTCACAATCACCCAATACCAAGCAGCCCTGGAAAAGTGAGCAACACTGACCTCAGGGCCAAGCAGGGAGCAAAGGAAGTTTCCATAACATGTGGGAGCAGCCCATTTCCTTAAGTAGGGGCTTCTAAGAACCAGTCTCAGAAGGTGTAACGGCTGTTTATCAGAATTCCCAAGAGCAGAACAGTTGTAAGTTTGAGAGACCTACTTCTATCCCAGATTTGGAGCCCCAAGTGTGAACCCCAAGTATAAAGCTAAGGAGCCTATTCCCACAGAGCAGACAGAGGAGGAACTAAGTGACAGCCTATGCCTGAACCTTTAGAAAAAGATCGGCAAGTCTGTGGCCCACTGTCTGTGGTCCGACGGGTGTATCTTCTGACCTGACTGGAAACGCAGTGCTATACACCTTAGCAGTGGCCAAGGCCACCCACAGGCAAATGTCTCTCTGGCATGGGCCACAGACGGAGAGACACTGCAGTCTCAGCAGAGCGAGCCTGGCCTCCCTGGGCCCCATCAGGCAGCAGCCAGAAAAAGGACTTTGTCCTTCTGCAACAGCTTGTCCTTCCTTCCTCAGGCCAAGTTCACCTAGGGTCTGCAGGAAGCCAGTAGGCAGCCTAAGCCTGGCCTGAACCCTGTTATGGGATGAGCAGGGTACAGAGTTGGAGAGATGATCTGGTCCCTGAAGGGTGCAATAGGTCAGACTCCCCTACCCTCAGAGATAGAGTAGGCTCTGCACAAATATCTGTAGAGGACTTGGTGCTGTTACCTGGTAGGTAAATGTCGGCAGGAGGGACTGGCTGGCTGCAACCATGGTGCTGGGGGCTGCCATCCTGCAGGACATCATCAATAGAGGGCACTCGGCTCCCTGCAGCAGGTAGAGGAGAGAGGTCAGGACACACAGGTAGGGACAGATCCTTGTGGCCCATTCTGACTCCCATAGACTCCAGGGACCACAGTGATTGCATGTGCATGAGATGGGAAGTTTTATTTCTTTTATTTTGAACCAATCTGTCTAGTGCCAGGTAGTAGTAGTTTTTTGCTTTTCCTTGAAACTGAGCATACAGGAGTGGCCCCTGAGTGGCAGGGGCTTCAGGGAAGACTTCTGGAGCAGCCCTGAGGACCATGGTTACTCTTATCTCACACAAGTTCTCAAGAGCTTGTGTCTGCATTCCCGATTCCTCTGGGTGAGTTTTCTGCCTGGGTAAAGAGCTCTCTGAGTATGGGAGAAGCCTAGGCCCTAGGTGGGAAGCTGAGGTCCTCCCTGGCTGAGACAGAAGATGGAAATACAAGGCCAAGCTAGAGGGGCTGAAGACACAGCACACTGCTCCAAGAGGGAAGCACCTCCTCACACCCAGGGCCACAGCCCCCTGCAAGCAGGCCTCACATAGGGGGACCTCTCAGCAGGATGTAGGGTACAACAGAGAAGCTGCAATTGTACAGGGCGGGGAGCTCATCACGATCCTATGGGTCTCATTGCGAGTTAGAGCCACGTCCTAGTCAAGTGGCCTTGGGCATACCCTAGATGCCAGCCCTGAAGCTGAACTTTTACTTTCTGTCCAGCAGTGATACAGTAAGGACTAAGCAGACACAGGCTTGGGGGGCTTCTTATCACCAAACGTGGCCAGCAAGAGGGATGGGGGAAACCCAAGCCTCCTAAGCTACCCACTAAGCCCTTCACTACAGGGAGGTGAGGAAACACCAGCTGTCACCAATTCATCAGGAAAAAAGTCAGTCAGGAAACTACAAAACACACCAAGACAAGTAACTCCCACACCTGGGCGGCACTTCCTGGACACACATGAGGTGCTAGTGAGTGACACAATGCCCTTATCACCCCTGCACACTGACCATCCAGGTTCCGGAAGGTAAGAGCTGGGGGTCTGTCCCTAGCCAGAACCCAAAACTTACCAAGGGCTTGGGGACAGACCTGGGAGAAGGGGCTCACCTTGCTTGAGTGACGGCTCATCCACCTCCTCTGTTCCGAAACTCTAGGAGACAAAGAGGAAAGGCCTCTAGTGTACCCTCAGGCCAAATGGGTCAAATTCCTGAGACTAGGCTGAGGGCAGTGGGCAACAGCTGCCACCAAGGACACAGGATGTCACTGGAAGCCAGACTTCACACATGGTCTTGCTTAAAAGTCCTCAAAGTGACTCCACCACAGGGCACCTCGCCCACAGTCAAGGACTCTAACTTTGTCTGGCTGTGACATCACAGTGTGGCAGTGAGGGCTCAGGATTAAGGGAGCCCAGAGAAGGCAGCCAGGGCCTCACCAGAAGCAAGCCTCACCTCAGGGGAGCTGCTCTCCCTCAGTGCAAGCTCCACACCACTTGGTGGGAGAGGAGTGTCCGAGTCCTCCAATAGCTTCTCTTCATCCTCCTCATGGATGGGGGATGATGGAGACCGTAGGGTGCTACAGACAGGAAGGAAGCAAGATTGTAGGATGGCTAGGTGAGGAATATAAGCCTACCAAAATCCACACTGGACCAGTAGCATTTGGAGGAGAGGTGGCATCTCTGCAAAGACTTCAAAACGCAGACCTGCCCAAGGCTCCCAGGCAGAGGTTGTACTTCAGCACAGGCCTGAACAACCAGGAAGGTGGACCAGCCCAACAACCCTCCCAGTCCCAAAGATGCCAGCACAGGCCTGACAGCCTGACACTAGAAGAGACACATTGAGCCTAGGCAAACAGCAGAAAGGACTGTACAGGGACCTGGGCAGCTTGCAAAACACATACCTTTTTAATTTTTTTTTTTTTTTTTTGGTTTTACGAGACAGGGTTTCTCTGTATTGTTTTGGAGGCTGAACACATACCTTTTTTATACCTTTCTCCTTAAGGAGTCAACACAGTAAGACTGGCCAGCCGCACCATGCTAGTCTCTAAGGAGCAAGACTGACTCTAGGGCAGCCCAAGGAAAGTGGCACTAGAGAGGACCCTTGTGATACTGAGGATGAAGTGGGAGCACTAGCCTGGCATGTACATGGACCTTGGGCAAATTCCAGGAACACAGATACATAAAACCTCTGACAAGATTAATATCTAGGACACATAGAAGCTCGAAAAGATGTACTCTAAACACTAAATCATCCAATCATTAAAAGAATTCAAGGCAGTTTGCAAAAGAAATATAGCCCATAGTGGTGGCACATGCCTATAATCCCAGCACTTAGTAAGTAAAGGCAGGGAGAGATGGCTCAGAGGTTAAGAGCACTGACTGCACTTCCAAGGGTCCTGAGTTCAATTCCCAGCAAGCACATGGTGGCTCACAACCATCTACAATTCAATCTGGTGCCCTCTTCTGGTATGTAGGTGGAACACTGTATATGTAATAAATAAATCTTTTTTAAAAATCCATTTACACTCTCATGCTACTATAAAACCAATGGTTATAACCTGTTGAAGTAGAAAGCCAGTGCAACCAGATAAACAAGCAATGGAAAGAGTCACTGCTCAAAGCCTAGAACAGGAGCACACATTTGGCTCAGTAGCAGCAAGGTGTGCTGGCTAGTTTTATGTCAACTTGATGCAAACTAAAGTCATATGAGAGCAAAGAGCATAAATTCTAAAAATGCCTCTCAAAGACTGGGCTGCAGGTAAGCCTGTCCAATATTTTCTTAATTAGTGATTGATAGGGGAGAGGAGGGCCCAGCCCATTGCAGGTGGTGGCATCAGGGCTGGTGGTCCTGGATTCTATAAGAAAACAGGCTGAGCAAGCCATAAGGACCAAGTCAGTAAGCAGCGTTCTCCATGGCCTCAGCATCAGCTCCTGCCTCCAGGTTCCTGCCCTGTTTGAGTTGATGCAGTAAGATGCCCAAGTGTAAGTCAAATAAACCCTTTCCTCCCCATCTTGCTTTTGGTCAAGGTGTTTTATCATAGCAATAGAAACCCTAAGACACAAGGTTCATCTGCTTCACACCTCAGTGTCCCAGTTTCATTGCTGGTTCGTTGGTGAGATATGCTTATGTGACCAGCTATCAAAATTCCTAGATTCAGCGGGGCAGTGGTAGCACACGCCTTTAATCCCAGCACTCGGGAGGCAGAGGCAGGCAGAGCTCTGTGAGTTTGAGGCCAGCCTGGTCTACAGAGTGAGTTCCAGGACAGCCAGGGTTACACAGAGAAACCCTGTCTTGAAAAAACAAACAAACAACAAAAACAAAATCATAGATTCAAATCAGCCCTGTGGGCAGAGATATGGCACCAGTCTGTACAATTTACTGACAGCAAGCAGCTGGTGTACTTTGGGCCTCAGCCCAGCCCCTTTCCTGATGTACTGTTCTGCTCAATGTTATTGGCTGTCATCAACTATACAGAGTCTGACCTGCTGCTGGACCTTTTGAGTCCCAGTGATCAAGAACAAATGCTCATAAAGTTCTGTAAAACAACAGAGAAACCTTGCAAGTCTCACATGCACACATAAGCAGGTCTTCCTACTCTTACATACATCCTCTTTCTCTCAACGTGATGACACACTTCACCAAGGGAGACTGGGCAGTGGCCTCACCTGTCTGGAGACTTGCTCTGTGGCTTGCCCTTCTGTAGGCCACTTTCTATGATTCGATCGAGTCCAGCGAGAGGACAGCTGGCCTGGGACAGACCATCCGAGATGCCTGAGTAGGTGATTTCCTCATAGAGGGGGGCTGATGGGATAGCCGGGGAGACAGCCCGTAGACCATTGAGTGCCTCAAGCAAGGAGATGGGCTCATAGCCAGGCGGGACACTGTCAGAACTCTGTGGGGACAAAAATCAATGAGGAGGGCCCGGCCAGGCTCCGTATCTACAGCCATCAAGTCCCAGAAATGGAACATTCTCCTCCCCAGGCCTGCTTCGCTAACTGTGTCTCACTCATGCCACCTTCCGGGGACTTAATCCCCAGCTCTTGTCAAAAGCTGTCTTTAAGAGTGGAAGCTACCAGCTCCAGCACATACCCCAACACCCAGATGTCCAGAATGATTAGCAAGGTCTGCAGAAGCCATTGTCCCCATCATTGCCAAGCCCTTACATGGCTTGCTGTTCCCAGCTTGCAGGAGTGGGAAGTGTGAGGGGTTAGTGACAGCAAGAGGACTCAGGAGCAGGCAGAGCAGAGCCATGCCAGAGGCAGGAGAACATTGCCAGTGCTGCCCTGAGCCAGGGGAAGTATGGCCTCCAGGGATCTCAAGCAGGGTGGCAGTAGGAACATGGATGGGTACTAGCTCCTGGAGCCCCTCATTAGTAACAGATGGATTTGGCAGGGGTAAAGAAGAAGGAAAGTGCCTAGCTTCCAGAGAAGAGCAGTCAGGCCATGGAGTGCTGAAGAAGGATTGTGCTGCATTGCTCCTGTACGCACTTACAAACCAGTAGAGGGGCAGTGCTCATAAGTGCTTCCTACAGGACGCTCTGGCCTGCCCACCCTCAGCAGCGTGGATAACAGGATGGGGAGGCACTCCTGGATGGAGAACGCGGTGTGTACCAGACCAGTGGTGGGCCTTCCTCCTCTGGCTAACTCTCACCTATCCCCACCTGCCTTCAGCTTAAAGGTGAACATTGCCCCACCCCCACGCCCCTCACAAAGGGCAAACCTGACTCCCTCCCAAGCTTCTTCCCTCAGTCACACTAGCTTTCAATGAGCTCTCGCCAGGCCAGTGAAACTCCAGGAAGAGGTCTGGCCTGGCTACTACTGACTTTTGCTCTCCCTGTCTGGTCTCTGAGGTGCAGGGAAAATGTCAGAAAACTAGAGTCCTGGACCCAAAGAGCCAAACTTCAAGGGACAGCCAGCCAGGGATGCAAGATGAACAGGCATGCAGGGGATGTCATGTGCGAAAAGGAGCAGCCATATCAGTTCCACCTTCAACACCCATTCCACTGCCAGCAAGAAAAAACGGGAAACGGCACTCAGAAGCCATGGCAAGCAAAGCTGGCAAGAAGGCAGTGCCTGAGGTTGGCTACCACCTGGCACGAACACCAAAGAACTGGCTCCGTGCCAACAGACCTTTAGCTTTGCTTGTTCCACAAAACTCCCTTCCTGGGCAGGGACACCGGGACTAGGGAGAGCGGATTTGACAAAGTGTGTTAAACATATTAGCCTGGGTTTAAGATGACCTCCCACACTTGTTGGTTTAAAAATAAGGGTCTGGGGCAAAAACAGAGCTATATGACCAAACACACTTACTGTTTCCCTTTTAGGTTTCTTGCTGGCCAGGGAGGCAGGGTGCGACTTTGATTTTTTAAAGGGACACTGTCAAAATAAAAATCACATGTTTTACAACTTCTATCTCCACATGGCATGGGGATCGGTGGGGCGAGGCAGGCCTCTGGTTTACTGCCCTCCAAGCATGCCCAGGAATTCTAAAATTGACCTTAAGACCACACTCAACACAAGAAAAATTCTTCATCAGGGCCCTGCGCAGGCTGCCTGCACATATATGACCAGTTCCTGTAGCGGGTCCCACTCAGAGGGAAACTTGACCTCAACCTAACCTATTGGTGGTTTGGGCCTACCCAAAGCAAGAGGTCTTGGCCAAGGGACATGAGAGTGGTGGGGCCTTCAGCCTCACCATCACCATAAAGACTCCCTGGAGATCGAGTTTGGGCCCTTCACAGAGCAGGTGGCAGAGAACAAGAACCCACTTAGGTACTCAGAACCCTGTAAAAGGCAGGTGGCTCCCAGGGCAGACTAGAGCTTCTGGCTCATTACCAATCAAGGTTACACCCCCCCATAACTGGCTCACTCAGGGTAAGACGGCAAACAGGAAGGGACTCATCTGGCCTTCAGCCACCAGGACAAAACCAACAACAAGCCCAGCACTGTCAAGCACTGGTAGGTCCCTCTACAACACTCAGAGCCCCTCCTTCACCAGGCAGCCCCACCTCAGAGCCATTTCTCCTGCAACCAGCAAGCACATGGTTGGTGAGTGTATTGCTCTTCAACCAAAACCCACACAGTGTGCTAGGAGGCAGAAGTATTTCAGGGGCCCTTGTGTGTGCAGCGGGACGACCCATTGGAGTGGGGATGCTATACCTCTAGTTCAGGTCCCTGAATGCAAACTGGCTTTTGAGAGAAAGGCCAAGAATCTTCATTTCATGGAATACTTCTAGGCTTTAAATGTTGGCCTAGGTTAGGTGTAGTGGCACACACCATTAATCTCAGCACTCAGGAGGCAGAGACAGGCGAACCCGAGTTCAAGACCAGCCTGGTCTACAGAGTAACAGCCAGGGCTAAACAGAGAAACCCTGTCTTGGAAAACAACAAAACAAAACAAAAATATTGGCCCAGTTTGCAGAAGTCCACTGTGAGAGTGCATCACACCTGCTGAGCTTACTGACTGTAAATAAAGTAGGACTTTCAGTAACAAAGGCTATGTCCCCTGGATGTCCAGACCATAGGGCTTATTGTTCTTTCCTCTTAAAGTGGAGGCAGGAAGGCCTTGGTCCAGACTGAGGTCTCCCTCACTCCCCAACTGCCTCAGCTTTTCCTGCAGACTCCTGCATATTTCTAGGCACCTCTCTCCCCGTCTCTGAGCACTTCTGTGAGCCTCATCTCTTACTTATGTCTTACTCTTTAGTTCTTTAATTGACAAGATCTTCCTAGTCTGCCTGAAGCAAGGCTACCCAGGCAGGCATTCAGTCTACAGAAGGAGCCTCCAGGATGAGGCTGAAGCCAGCCCACAGGCAGTAGCGTGCTGCCTAAAGCAACAGTGGAGGTCCTCCCCTTGCTCCGCTCACAGGCTGCTGTGGGGCCATGCCTGCCTAGTGGGCAAGCTGAAGGAGGGGGAAAGGCACTTACAGAGTGCTCCTCATGGTCCACACTCTGGGCCAAGACAGGACTGAAAGAGATGGGAGACAGGGCCCCTGGCTTCTTCCGAACAGCCCGGATCTGCAGGAGAGCTCGGAATGCTGTGGCAGAAAGAAAGAGAGACATGTGAACAAGGACAGTGTCTTCAGAGGCATGGACGGATGACCACTCCAGACAGACTGTGGACACTGCCACTCACAGTGCCAGGAACAAGGAACATGTCTCCAAATCAGAGACAGAGGGGATCCTTAACAGATGGAGTCCTGGACGGTTCCTAAGGGACAGTTTCTAAAAGACCAATAGCTGTCTAAGGACTACTCTATTCAAGTCACAGTGGCTGTGGCCACCACTTACACCAGTAGCCTGAAACAGTGGGGACCACAGAGATCTCCAGACTATAAGCTCCTGCCTCTGATTCTTCAGAAGGCAGGACAGGAGCAGGGAAGTACAAAGTCTACCACAGAGACAACTGGAGCAGACACTGGTTATGTAGCAGAAAAGACAAATTAAGGCATCTCGTAGTGCCAGTTCTGCCCACAAGAGTGGCCCAACAGGAAACAGGATTACATTCCTAAGACACAGTGAATGGAGGTGAAGTCCATGCATCTATGACAAATGTGCCACAAATCAGGATCAAGAAAGATATGCCATCAGCCTGCACCTGGTGCTGAGGATTCAGAGACGGTCATAGAACAACAGTGGCCCTTCTATCCACATCTGCCTTTTTCAGTACGATCCCCATTTTCTACAAAGAACAGGCCAGTGACACCTTGGTCTATGATAGGAAGTTTCCATCTCTACCTCCTATTTGAGGACCCCAACTTGAAGTCATGACACACAGGAAGATTTCAGAGGCCCAGTGGCAGGTCCTGATAGCTGCAGTAAGTTCTAGGGCCTTGTAGATCCCACACCAGGGCCCTTTCTTTCCATTCTTCCAACGTCAGCCCTACACAGAGCTGCTATCCTGACTACACCCCATCACTCCTATGCTTTGTCCCACAGTTCCCCATGGCCTGTATGCCCTGTTCAGCCTCACTTCTCCACAACCACCCATACTTGGTTACACAGCAACCAGGGGAGGAAGGGTTGTCTGCCACACTGTGCATACAGCGTGGGGTGGAACTGGGATTCATGGCTCTGTATCTGCACTCTAGCCAGGACACACACTTGCTCCAGCCCTGCTCTGACATCTGGGTCCCACCAACACACTCCAAGACTGCCCCAGGAGGCCAGGACAAGCTGGGGACACCGGTGCTCAGCTTCACTGGCCACCACTTCTCACAGGCTGAGGCCTGCAGTGAGTCTTGGGACACCCTAGCAGCACCCATGTGTCCTCAGGATGGCAGGCTCACATGGGACAGTGCTGAAGGGATGACTCTGAAAAGAAAGATGGCACACTCTGGCCACCCTGTTCACTGGGGACCACCCACATAAGAACAGCACCTTTGTCACATGTGGGCACCAAAGCCTGCAAAAACCTAGGCTGGCACACTGCCTGCTTCCCTTGTCAACAGTATTATGAACCGCCCATGTCAGCCAGCCCACATGTGGTCCCGTCCTACCTCAGATGGGTCTTGCCTGGACACTGGGAGACCCAGATCAGGTACTGTATTGTCCCTGTCTGCATATGCAATCTGTCCTATGGCCCAATGGAACTGTCACAGTGAAAACTCACACATTACACGGACACATAACCGACTTGTAGGGGACTACCAACATAACACGCTGCTTTCAGATTGTGGGACCAAGAGCAGAAGCCAAAACCCCACCATTTCTGACTGAAGAAACCATTTCTGACACTTAGCCATGACCTTGGGTGAGTTTCCTCACGGTCTACAATGTGGCAGACAACCTGACCACTACCTAATAAGTTTTTTCTACCCAGCACAACGTTCTGCTTTTGACTCACTTTAAGATTTTCAAAAATAGTTCCTATGTAACCATGACAACAGATTTTGTTCAGAGCTTAATCAAGTGTTACCACACATCTTCCCTGGATCACTTTATGTATTCCTTCTAATATTTTCCTGTCCTGGAGGTAGAAGGATCAACATCATGCCTTGCGTGAAAAACTCATGGAGTCTCCATGTCTCATACGATAGGGAGAGTGGTTCCCAGACTACCTGGAGTAGGAAGCCCTAATTCTCCTGCAGCTTTCACAAAAAGAGCCCTGGGTAATGCTCACGCAGCCGGCAGATGGGGCAGTTGTTGGCCTGGTACCGCAACGTGTCAGCACAGGAAGTGCAGAGGCACAGATGGCGGCAGGGCAGGATCAGCGTGTCCCTCAGGTCTGACAGGCACACCACACATTCGCTGCTGTTGTCACTGTTCTCGTCATCAGAAGGCTGTGGAGACAAGGGCCAGTGTGTCAGTGGCTTCACAAGAGCCTACGGGTGGATCTGATGGTGCCTTGAGCATGCCCTCCTGTGTCTATGTGTGCCACCATTCCCGGGGACTGTATGGCAAAGGGAGTAGGAGGGGTCAGGGACACTGGGGTGGGGGGCACTAGGCTTACATGGAGGGAGAAGCCTTGCCTTCCCCAAACCCAAACATGATAACTCTTTCTGCTATAAAGAAGCAGAGAACGGAATGAGTGCACTGAACCACATGTCTTTGTAACAGTTGGGACTGTATTCAAAATCACTGAGTAGATCTAACTTGGAAAGACTTTAATTTATATCAGCTTTCAGAAACTACACCAGGGCCTGGAAAGTGAGTGAGCAAATATCTTAAAACATGAACTGGGCTAATTGAACCTGCTTGTTTATTGAAACGCTGACACATTTAACCATCTCTGCACTGTCTGGGGCTGCTTCTAAGCTAAGGCTGCAGCACCAAGTAGCTGCCATAGAAACCAGATGGCTAACCCAGCACACCTTTAATCCCAGCACTGGGGAGGCAGAGGCAGGCAGATCTCTCTGAGCGTGAGACCATCCTGGCCCACAGAGTGAGTGCCAGGGCCAGAACAACACAGTGAGACCCTGTCATGAAAAACAGACCACAGGTGTCTCAGGAAGCCAAAAATACTATTTGACGGTTTAGTGATTTAAACAACATGCTGGTCAACTTTCTGGTTCCAGGAACTCTGCTCCTGTTTCCTAGCTGCCATGACATGAGCTGCTCTGCTTCACCTCTTCCCTGCCAGAGGGCACTGTCACTTGTAGAGCTGTGAGCTGCAGTAAGTCATTCTCATTTGAATTGCTGCTTCTCAGGTAGTCAGTCAGAGACAAACAAAAAAGCCTGGTTGGCTTAACTGCTAAAAAGAGGTTAAGGAAAGAAGACGGAGTCTGGGGCTCTGGGCCTCCTTCCCATCAGCACGTCACCAGTGAGTGGGCTTCTAAAAGGCATTTAGAAAGCCTGAGGCGTGTTGCTAGCCTGGAGTCCAGTTAGCTGCTCACAAGGACACACCTTGGTCTCTTGGTTGTTCTTATTCTCGATGCCATAGATCTCCTGCAACAGGTAGCTGACACGATCCACCTAGAGAACAGAAAGATGTGCTAGGGTCTGGTCAGTCTCCACTAGTGGGCGTCTCTATACCTAGATCACCTTCAGGGCTCAGGTTCCACAGAAAATGTGGCTGAGAAGTCTGTGGAACCTGTTGAATCCCCTCCTCCTGAAAAAAGGCAAATGCCAGGAACAAGAGGCAGGAAACCCTGCCCTGTGCTGAGTTCAGCAAGCAACACAGAGAACAGGGAATGAAGCCAATGGTCCTACCCATCCATCCCAGAAGGCCTGGCTCCAAGTTGCCCACATTATCCCCATTACCAGAGAACAAATACTTTGGAGCCACTCTGTCACCCACAAGAGGGCCAGAGCTGCTGTCTGTAGGCAGCAGACACCAAGTCCTGCAACTGTTCTTTCCACAAGACACGAAAGCCGTATCTAGTCTTAAGACACAAAGCAAATCACTTCTGACCAAAAGGCTTCATGCTGACCTGTCCTGAAGTGCTCTAAGTTACTAGTTCCCAGGTTCCATGGGCCATAGCATCCACCCAGAAAGCCAGGATCCTGCTAGCTGGCTTTCAGGAGACAAGTGTCCCAACCCCAGTGGGGTCTTCTGCCCAACTAGTATCATCAGGGTCTGAACCTGCCAGGGTCCACTCTCTCTCTCCTTTAAAGGCTAAAAAACACAGAGTAACTTTAAGCAGGTCTCAGGCACTTGGGTAGCTACACACAAGACAACTGCTCACCATGGCCTTGGAACACAGGCACTTGCCTGTCAATCAGTCTCAAATAGTTCTAACTAGGCATCACACTAAATTCTTATATTGCTCAAGTAGGGTACCAGGAGTAACTGCCCTATGTCGGATTACAGAATGTGTGAATCCCAAGAGAAGCTTTCCCAGTCTTCTCTATACCCTGGGACGCCTCCCCTTTTAAGGGCTCAAAGAGTCAGTTGAGTCTTTGCCCAGTGCTGCTTTATTTCCAGTAATCTGTAAGCAACAGGCAGATGCCATAGTTCTGTTTCCTGTCTTTCCTTACCTTCTCTGCCCACTCATTTGGCAAATAATTCACCAAGAACTAACTGCATTCCATGCACCATGGTTCAAACTGGGCAGGACTCAGGGACCTGCTCTGGTTGCTGTAGTACAGGGCAACTACACAACCCATGCACACAAACCACAAATCCCAATATCCCAAAGCACAAGAGGGCAAACTCAGGCAAGCAGCTCCTACAGACCAGAAAGAACAGCCCATGGAGTCTGGGCATGTGTTCACACCTGCACTGTGTGTGTGTGTTTTTTGCAACCCAAGGGCCCATGATGTTTGGCACTTACAATTTGCTTCTGCTTTAATGGCTTCACAGAGAAACTGCCATCCACATGCTGCAGGGAAGAGACACAGTTAATCTCAAACTGGCGCTTCCAAGCAAGCACTCTTGCCAGTCAGGTAAGGGTCAACCTATGTTCACAGCTGATAATAAGAATAGGTGGTGAGGGGCCAGGCCTTCACCTGTGGCCTCATGCCTGCCTTCTACCATACCTGAAGCATCTTCTTCAAAGATTCTTGCAGAACCCAACTACCCTGAGTGGCTCCCAGGCACACACATATTGAAGCCACTCAGTCACATTGTGTTACTGGCTAGCAACTTCCATGTACCCAGAAGCAGTATTTATGTAGCAAGAGTGAATACTCAAAAGCTCTTGGGCTTGGCTTAATCGGGAAGATATCACAAGTCCATACCCAGAGAGCTAAAATATAAAAACCAAATGGAATAGAATCAATGTGTTTAATGCTATCCAGGGAAACAGATTGCTCAGAGTTGGAAAAGCTTATTAAGGTATTAGAGCTGAGATTTTTGTAATTTGTGTTATACTTTGAGTCAACCAAGACCAGCACTAAGGATTGTCCAGTAAAATTGATGGGCACTTATGGAAATTTCTAGAATGGGGTACTACAAAAACAAGTAGTTTTCCACTGATCTTTAAATTGCAAGCACTGTGCTGAATGCCTGCTGGAGACAGTCCATTTGCCTCACTAGATCCTATTTGTAAGCACTTCTCCCAACAAGACCCAAACACAGGGTGCTCAAGAAGTGGCTGGCCCCTGTCCAGCACACTCATGTCACCTGCATTTCTGACCCCAGAAAAGCATGCCTACGCTTACTGCACAACAGATGAGCATAGTTGTACAGAGCCCAGAGTGCTTCAGAGGCCTGGGTCACAGTATGAATGGGCTCTACACTGAAAACACACCCTGGTGAAGAACCCCAAGTTAGCAAGACTCAAGATGAGTCAGCGGGAAATAACTAACCCCAGGCCACTCTTGGTGGGGGTCGTTGTCACCTGGGCTGAAGGCTGAAGCTATGTCTTAGCTGTAGTGCTGAGGGACAGCAAAGGGCCTAAGGGATGGCGGGGTCTCTGAGGGCATCAAACAGACATGTAACCCAAATGTCTGACAAGTGAGGACACACACACACACACACACACACACACACACACACACACACACACACACACACACACACACACACACACACACACACCTGGGGCTGCCCTAGCAGGGTGGACAGGAGGATAATGGACCTGGTGGGAAGGGTTGGTGGCTGGAGAAGGGAAAGTTAGTCTGTGACAGGGGTCTCCATGTGGGCATCCTAGCCTGTGATGGCAGGTTCTTAAGGGTTCTGTGGGGCTGGCCTCAGTCTAGAACACTCTGCCTCACCAATCTAAAAACTCTTTTAATAACCCCCAAGAGGATGCTCGGCCTCAGGACCAGCATCTTGGGAACTAAGACTCTGTCATTTAGCCTCTGCACCAAGCCCTGACTCCCATATTCAGGCCACACCTACCCCAGCTACCAGGTTACCGGGTGGTGGTTAGGATGGCACTTACCTTCTCAAAGGCAGCCAAGAGCACATGAGCATGGCCTGTCACTTCCACAACTGAAGCAGGGAAAGACAAGAGAGGAGAGGTCAAAGTGAGGTCATGGCTGAGATGCTTGCCTTTTCCCTGCAGGCACGATTTCTAGGTGTCACAAGCAGTGGCAGAGCCGCGAGTTCATTCCTGTTCTTGCCCTCATCTTACCCTCCTCTTTTGTCATGAGCCTGTCTGTGAGCTGTGATGGACACACTCCATTTCCAAAAGAGGCCCTTTGATTACTCACGGAGAAGGAAGCCACCTTCTCGCCACAGGTCACACACACTTGAGAAGGAAGATGAGGAAAGACCAACAACACTTACCATCTCCTTCGTCCACAACCGCCTGTATGACTACTGGAAACACACCCCGATCCAGGTCAAAGTTCAGCTGAGGACAGGAGGCAAAAATGGTCAGGTTCACAGACATCAGTAGTGAGTTGGTTAGCCCAAACTGGAGCAGACAGATGGAAATCAAGGACCCTCAGTGACACTAACCCATGTAGACCATACAGTTCCTAACCAACTCTCCAAATAGAAACTCCTTGCAAGAGGTGTTAAGCCCCCATTCCTTCTTCTCAGTCCTTGAGAACTACTCATCTGCTTTCCATAGCTGTGAGTGTTCCTATAATGGATCATTTAGTGTTTATCTTTTCATACCTAGCTTTTAAAAATAATGTACTTATATTTATTTTATGTGCACTGGTGTGAGGGTGTCAGATGCCCTGGAACTGCAGTCACAGACAGTTGTGAGCTGTCATGTGGATGCTGTACACCTAGCTTTTTTCACTGAGCATGCTTTCCAAGTTCAGTGGAATTCCATTCCTCTTTACGTTGCATAGTTACTCTAGAGGACAGGTAAGTCACATTGTGTTTGCCCATTCACCAGTTGATCCATTGATTGTTTCTACATTGTGACCACTGTGAACAATGTTATTATGTATCTGTTTAGTCTCTGTCATCAAGTCTCCTGAGCACATACCTCCAGGTTTTGAGTTAAATTTAGCTATGTAATTTGGGGAAAAGCATCTGGCTTAAGCCCCATCAAAGATGGAATGAGAGTTAGACTCCTCAGTTCATCCTTCTCTCAAGTCACAGCTGCCCTCCCTCCATTGACTGAGAAACCCCAGACCTGCTTCCATCTTCACATACTCCCCTGACCCACACCCTGCACCCTGCTAGCAGAGCACTGCTCTGGGATTCACCTGATCCCATCTGTGGGCTACTTCCTGTAAACACTCTCAGCTCCTGTTTCTCCTGTCGCTAGACTGTCCTCTGTCCCCAACTCCCTGACAATCTGTAGAGGACGAAATCCAGCCTACCCAGTCTCCAGAATCCTCCTGGGGTCTCAGGGAAGCAGCAGGCATTTCCATTTATTCTCACTAAGGAGTTACTCCAGGAATGGTCAAGAGACCAGGTATGGTAACACACATTCCTAACTACTCAGGAAACAGAGGCAGAAGGGTGGTAAGCTCAGCAGTGAGGCCCTGTCTCAAACAATGGTGGTATACACCCAGACAGGAGGATCTCTGTGAGTTCAAGGTTAACCTGTTCTACATAGTGAGTTCTAGGCCAGTCAGAGATACACACTTGACAATGTCTCAAAAAAAAAATTAAAAAACCTTATAAACTCATGAACATACTGAAAACCACAGAATCCTTAGAATGGGCAAGCCATGGCATATGAATCACAGCACAATTAAGTTAAAAGCAAAACCAAACACAGACCAAGTGAAACAGCCAGAGAAAGGGCTAGGAAAAGCAGCCCCAGCCTAGGCCCTGCTCACTGGGCCAAGGACAGTGCCTTAGCCAGGACCCCCACAGGCTCATGGTAGAGCTGCTTCTGGCCTGTGCCCTAGAACCTTGAGCCTACAACTAAGCACACATTGTGAATGGAGACTCAATGGCCAGAGGCACATCTCTCGGTAGAACACAGAGCTCCTTTCTTCCTCAAGGTCAGGCTAAACCAGCCTGGAACACGAGACAGAAAGGTCTGTCTCTCTTCATCAGAAAATCTGTCCTTTGTGGAGTGAGCAGGAGGAACACATCTTGGGCACTTGTCTCCACCTAAGCCCTATCACACTGGGCCTCAGTTTCGTGTTTCCAAATGAAGTCGCTAATATACCAGTTACATTGAATTCTGCAATGAAAGACGTGGGAATCCTCTCACCAGCCCAGCACTGGACACCGCTGCCAGAGCCATGGATGTTAGTGTTATTTATAAAACAGGAAAAATGTTTCTTTCTAAGATTTATCAACATAGGCTGGGCTGGGGGCAGGGCTTTAAGCACACACCTTTAATCCCAGCACCCTGGGGACAAAGGCAAGTGGATCTCTGTGGGTTTGAGGCCAGCCCGGACTACAGAACGAGTTCTAGAACAGCCAGGCCTACAGAGAGACCCTGTCTCAAAAACAGTTACCAACACAGGGAATTTCCCACTGCAAATATGGTGAGAAATGAGTCAAAACACTATAAAAAAACTTTCAGGAGTAGATGCTTATCTGAACAAGAACCCCCTCCCCTCACCTAAGGTTCATACAGCTGAATGCTTGGTCCAATTAGTGAAACTTTTTAGGAAGAATTAGGAGGTGTGGCCTTGTTGGAGAAGGTGTGTCACTGGGGGGTGGGTTTTGAGGTTTAAAAAGCCCATATTCTCCCAGCCTCTTTTTGCCTGCAACTTTTGGTAAGATATTAACTCTCAGCTACTGCTCCAGTGCCATACCTGCCACCACCACACTCCACACCATGATGGTCAAAGACTAACCCTCTGAAACTATAAGCAAGCCCACAATTAAATGCTTCCTTTAAAAGCTGCACTGGTGCCTGGCAGTATTGACACACACCTTTAATCCCAGCACTTGGGAGGCAGAGGCAAACAGATACCTGAGTTTGAGGCTTGCTTGGTCTACAGAGTAAGTTCCAGACAGCCAGGGCTACACAGAGAAATTCTGTCTCAAAAAACAAAACAAGCCGGGCGTTGGTGGCACACACCTTTAATCCCAGCACTCGGGAGGCAGAGGCAGGCGGATCTCTGTGAGTTCTACAAGAGTTAGTTCTAGGACAGCCTCCAAAGCCACAAAGAAACCCTGTCTCAAAAACCAAAAAGAAAAAAAACAAAGGTTGCATTTCAGCACAGTGCAGGAATGGAGGCACACTCAGGACTGCTGGCTTCCAATCCAGCGCTGTGATCATTCACTGTGAATAAGCCTCAACCTGAGTCTCAGTTTCTTACCTGAGCAAGGCTGAGTACAATGCCTGGGTCAACATGCTTAACTCAACACAATTCCTTTTGTGTTGAGGCTATGCAGTCAAGGAAGACTTGTGAGCAGGAAGGAGGATACAGAAAATAGACAGGTATAGCAGCAGGTGGCCACACAGAGCAGTCACAGCTCTAGACTGGGCAGGGGCACTGTGGAACAGCAAGAAAGGGATAAGCCCTGCACATTTATACAGAGCAGAATTCCTCACAAACTGAGACTTAAGAAAGCAAGTGACCTTCCTGGGTTGGTGCCTTGCTCTATGAGGAGGTCTCTTGTGAGCCTGCGCCACTGCAGAAGAGCCACTCCAGAGTGATGATGCTGGCCGCATGCTGCCCTTACAAGGTCTATGGACTAAGCCCAAGGAGAGGAGCGCTCACACAGGAACTGCTTGTTGGGGTGTTAGTTAGGTGAACTAGCTAGAAAGAGCGGGGCCCTGTGTCCACCCTAGGCTGGAAGCTGACAGGACACCAAGCCTGAGTGCATTGGAGTCCATTATGCTCTGAGCAGCTTCCAAGCATTCTATGCTGTTCTCAGCTGCACTCTGCATCCTGGAAGGAGGCAGCTGTGCTGGGTGAACTATGGAAGGGTGTTCAGTGACTCTGGTCCTGTCCTCCTCTCCCTGTGGTATCCCAGGGCTTATAAAGCACTTCACATATCACAGTTCCCTCTGACACTCCTACTCCTGAAATCTGCAACACAGCCATGCATCCTAACACACAGAGTAGCCTTGAACCGAGTGAGTGACAATGGAGAAGACAGGCTTTACCACCAGGGGTAGCCTGAGGAAGATGCTTGTTTTTATTTTCAAATTTTATGTGCATAGGTGTTTGACCTGCATGTATGTTTGTGCACCAGCTGAGTACCTGGTCACCAAGAAGGCCAGAAGGAGGAATTACAGACTGTTCTCAGCTGCCACGTGAATTCTAGGAATTCAAACTCAGGTCCTCTCCAAGAGTAGTCAATACTCTTAACCACTGTGACATCTCTCTAGTCCATTTGTTTTATTTTATATTATTATTTTTTTTGAGACGGGGATTTTCTGTGTAACAGCCCTGGCTGTCCTGGAACTCACTCTGTAGACCACGCTGACCTTGAACTCAGAGATCTACCTTCCTCTGCTTCCTGAGTGCTAGGATTAAAATCACATGCAGTCACTGCCCAGCTATTTGTTTTATTTTTAACATAGAACAAGAAAAACCCTCGTAGGGAAAAAGGCTACTGGGACAGGAAGGAGCCCAGGCAGCTGCCACCAGCATGAGTTACACCCAAGTTCTTATACCCCAGGCAAAGGTCTCTGCAGATGGCTGCTGGGAAATAAGGACAGAGAAGAAAGGCTCTGACAGAACTAAGTAGACACCACAGGCAGAGAAGGGAGAGGAGTAGGGAAAATTAGCAGAAAACTACTCAAGCTGTAGCCCACAAGAGGCCTGTGAAGAAAGCCTGTGCTGGGAGCGAGCGAGACAAAGCCGTTCTGTGTGATTCAGAAAAAGGAAAAGGCTGTCATGCTGGGACAATGACAACGGGGGAGCCTCTCTAACTCTGCACCTTTCCAGAACCCATGACTGCCAAACTTCTGGTCACTAAGCCTCACCCACACCCTACTCCTTAGTCCCTCTGCATATCTGATCCAAGACAAAAAGACCCAACTATTCCCAGGCTGCCAGTACCAGGAGGAATCTCCATGGGTCCCAGTATAACATACCAGCCAGAAGACGGAAAAACCAGAGAAGGAACAAGAGAAAGTATGGGATCCCCCAGAGTTACCTCATCATCCTTCCACTCGGAGAAGTCAATCTTGAAAGAAGGCAGGGAGAACTGCTGGCTAACGCCCCTCTTGTAGTGGACGGTCTCAGACTGCAGAGAAGGATTCTTACAGCTGTACCTGAGGGCAGCAAGGCAGCCACCTGACTCCTGTGGAGCCATGGGTGTGTACACCCAGCCTCCCACCTCCTCCTGTCACTCATCGGATAGCCAGCTGAGCTGGCAGCCATTTGTTTCATAGGGAATGAGAGTCTCAGTCATCCCAGAGGAAACAGGAAGCAGCCCACTTGACCAGCTGGCCCTTGCTCTTACAGGAGCCTCCCACTACCAACTCTGTTCACCACAAGGCTGCCCAGTCCTGACAAGGAACCATTTCTTCCAGAACCCAAGTCCTCTGCTGACCTCTGGATGAGAAGAACATTCCTACAAGGCATTCGGTGCATTTATTTTTTTGGAATGGCCATAGTGCAGAACTCCCTGTCCCAATGCTTGCTCCTAGCTACCTGTTACTCAGTCGCAGCCAGCACTGCTCATAAAGAGTCAATGTACTTGCAAGCCCACACAGGGTGAGGCATTCGCTTCAATGTGGGTCATGTTCTGAAGCATCCTCACCCTCATGAGTGTCATGTTCCCTGAGTCACCATGCTGCTGTACTGCACCTTTGCTCTAGTGACCCAGAGACTAGCTCCCTGCCTTGCTAGTCCCCACAGTGCTCCAAGGACCATCCTTTCATTTATCCAGAAATTCATCTCATACCCCAGGCTATTAGACAACAAGAGCTGATGGAACTGGAGAGATGGCTCAGAGGTTAAAAGCATTGGTTGCTCTTCCAGAGGTCCTGAGTTCAATTCCCAGAAACCACAAAAGTGTCTCACAACCATCTGTAATAAGATCTGGTGCCCTCTTCTGGCAAGCAAGCATACTCATAGCAGAACACTATATACATAATAAATTAAATAAAATCTTTAAAAAAAGAAAAGGGCTGAGCCAGTGTCCCCCATTCATGAACACAAGCCATGACCCTTACTGTCCCCACCCCCACCCCTGCTTACTGTCCCAGGGCTTCTCTGAGTATCTAGAACAAAGGCCACACTCAGAGTCTGGAAAGCTAGGGAATGTCCCTGTCAGTGCCGATATGGGAGGGAACCCCACAGAGCAGTCCAGCCTGGATGCAGTGAAAAGGTCATCCCAGAAAGGACCTCAGCAGTCTAGGCCTTCAGTTATAAGCTGTGGAACCCCAGAAACACCCTATTTCAATTTTTCTTGATAAGAAGTTAAGGAGCAATAAAGGAACAGGAGGACTGCCTGCCCTGAACTCAGGAGAAGATTCCTGCAGGCTGCATTTAAGTTCCTAAGTACAGTCTTTAAGGCCTGGGTCCTGGAGTCTCCTGTCTCTGTCTTGGTGATCTGATGCTAGTCAGCAAAATGGGAGGCAAATAGGCCTAATGCAAGTCTCAGAAGAGGTCTACCAGAATGCATCTCTGGGCAGCCATCTGGTGGCAGCAGGGTCCTGTTCTCACTATCTCACAGGACACAACAGAGAACAACTGGTCTGGATGGGCTGGGATTGGAGCTCACTGAACCTTGGCCCTCACTTCCTCTGGAACAGCTCCAAGGCACCAGCCCAGAATCTATGGCAGCTGTGCCGGAGAACAACACAGAAACAGCTCCTCTTCTCGGTTGTCACCACACTGGAGGTCCAGGGAAGGCACCACACCACAGGATCATACTACTTCAGGCTATAGCAGGTTAGTAGCTCACCCCAGAGCTTGTGTAGAAAGAGGGCTTGTGCTGGCCACTCTGTACACTCCCTGCTGACAGTCAGTATTACTGTTAAGTAAGTAACTTAGTAAATGTAACTAAGCAACCCACTGTTTAGGCCACAGTGGAACCTCAAAGAACCAACAATGAAAAAGGCATTAGCTTCGTAATTGCCCACTGCCACTCAGGAGGAAGTCTGCTGGCTGCCCAGGGCCAAGTCCTGAGTCCTAGAGGGAGACCTTTTCTAAATCAACAGCTAGCTTTGAGTAGCTATTACATCCCCTTATATATGGTAAACTGTTCAAGGACACCACTCACAAGAGCTGACTCCCCAACCTTATTCCCAGATGAGGAACTGAGGTCCAAGTCGTTACATGCTCTGACCACACCAACAGGCACAGAGCTAAAAGAACACTCAAAGCCAGCATTCTCAGTCCTTACTCCCCAGTGCTAGATCTGAGTCTTTTCAAGTCTTCGCCAAGGCAGGAAGGACACAGACATGTTTCTGCCCATCTGTGAGGCCACTCAGGCTAGGGCTGTCTTTCCTGTTGAGGTAGCCCCTGCCATGGTCATACTGTAGCTATAGGCTACAAACTCCTGGGACTGTCAAGACTCAAATTTTAAAGAAAATCTCCAAAAGTTCAAATTTGCAATTGTGACACAACAAAAATACATGTATTTTGTCTCTGTCCAAACTCCTGACATTGAGCTCCCAATCTTTTGAAGTTTTCTAGGTGCTGGGTGTCTCTCTATCCAAAGGAGGTGACTCTATGAAGGTTTCTAGAAGAGATTGGTGACAAAAAGACCAAGAAATGGGGGACCTTCCAGTTGATGCTCTCTCCAGGAAGGGGGAAAGGCCAACAATGAAGCCCACAGGACACTGCAAAGCCTGCATAAAGCCCAAAGTGCTGACCCAGGGACTTACACTGCCATGCCGTTCAAGAGCTCCTCTGCTGCCTGACAATAAATGGTGATAGCCACACGGGCATCGGCATCAAAGGTGAATTCCAAACTGTAGAGCACACGGGGCTTCTCACCGTCCTCTGTAGGGCTGTCTGCATCATCTTTGTACCTACCAAAGGCGGGTGGAAGATGGCAGGTCAGGAGCCATAGCCCCCAAGAACTGGCTCGTGCACACAGCTGCAGAGCATAAAGTTAGCTGCTTGGATACGTCTGCTTTGCTAGCAAAGGTGGAGGAAGGTCTGTCGCCTGCAGCACAACAAGACCCATAATCCACAGTCTGCTCCCCTTTCTCCCTGCCCCCAGAAACAGGGGACAAGTGTTCTTGGTGCAGATGTCTTAGGTTTAAAGCTGTTTTGTATGCTATTGATAACCAGACTGACTCATCCCAGGTATAGCATATCCCTGGCCTCCACGCTTCAGATGCAGCGGCCCTAGGCAGGCCAGTAACACTGAGGCACAACCGCAAGGGTGGGAGAGCCCCTAGTTCGATGGCTTAGGGTTGTTACAGAAGCTGACTGCATGTGAGAACACAGTCTGGGCCCTCTCAATATCCCTTCCCCCTTCCCAAGCACAAAGAGAGCCTCTAGACACCACATAGGGTCCCCAGGAGAGCAGCACCAGGGGAGTTACCTCACAAGCCGGAGCGAGTCTTTGCGGATGTTCACCAGGCTCCTCAGGGTCTTTACTGGCTCATGGGGGGCAGGGGTGACATAGGGAAACTAGGAGAAAAATACAAGTGAAAATAGATGACTCTCTAGAAGCAGCAGAGAATAGGAAACAGAAGTCAAGGGAGACCCCAACAGATATTCTTAGACTCTGGCCCCCATGTGAGGTACTGAACTAATACTAGACATACTGCTCAGATGACCCTGGCCATTTGGTCAGGATATGGGCAGGGACTGGCCCCACACCAAGCAACTTGGTTATTCAGCCAGTGTCCTCAACTGTATGCAGGACCCTCAGAAGTGGCCACAGTTAGGCTCCTAGGGCATCCTCCTAAGGTACAAGACAGCTCACTGCTGCCCACAAAGGCAGCCTACATAACGCCAACCAGCAAGTATTTGGGAAGACAAGCTGTGTACATGTATGCATGCTTATAATTATGCCCCTATATAAAATGTATACAAGTGGTAACATGAAACTATGGCTGTATCTGTCTATGTCTGCCAGCAACACTGTGCTGGAGCTTGAAAGGAGGGATGAAGCTGGGTAAAGGCACATAGATTGTACATGTTCTCTATCACAACCCAAGTGGATGCCCAACTGTCTCAGCAGGAAGTAAAATAAAAGATCTGGAGGCTGGAGAGATGGCTCAGCAGTTAAGAGCACTGGCTGCTCTTCCAGAGAACCTGGGTTCCATTCTCAGCACCCACGTGGCAGCTCAAAACCATCTGTAACTCCAGTCCAGGGTTATGATGCCTTTTTCTGGTTGGTGTACACTGGTACTGCATGCGCACACCTCACATATATACATACACTCAGGCACACATATACACAAAATAAACAAGATCTTTTTAAAAAACTAAAGAGAACTATAGAAGGCCTGCAAAAGCTAAGTCTCTGGGTGTTGAGGCAACAATGTGACAGAGAAAAAGGCCCAGCTAGTTCCCAGGTAGGAAAAGACAACACCCACCCCAGCCCCTGGCCTGCAGGATATACTATAGATCAGGATTTTGTGTGAGGGCTGGAGAGGCAGCTCAGAGGTTAAGAGCAGTGACTGCTCTTCCAGAAATCTTGAGTTCAATTCCCAGCAACCACACGGTGGCTCACAACCATCTATAATGAGATTCGGTGCCCTCTGCTAGCATGCAGGAATACATGGAGGCAGAATGTTGTACACATAATAAATAAATATTTTTTTAAAAAGATTCTGTGTTAGCAACTGCCCTGTGAGTAACACACCTAGCAGTCCCTGGTCTGAAGGCTACTCAGTAGGCCTGAAAGATGCTCAGGACGCAGTCATGTCACATGTTGAAGACCAGCACTCAGTGTTCCTTAGAGGGCCTCCTATCTTGCCTATCATTTAAAAACTCTACTCAAGGATTTTCTCTATTCCTTGGCATCACATTCAGACCTAGCCATATGGGCACTGCCCACCAGTGCAAATCCTCTGCCTCCTAGTGCTCCTTGTTCTTGCATACCCGGGAGCTACCATGGTTTCTTCAATAATTCCCACAGGAACCTCTGCTCCTCCTCTTCATCCTCACCTGACTTCATCCATCCTAAGACATTTCCACAACCCATCCCAATGCCTTTCTTGCCCTAGACTGACCTCTCTTACTTCCTGAAGGCTAACTGAAAGTTCATTTGATCACCCTGATTCTAACTCATAGGAGGTGTGCTGTCTAGTTTTATGTCAACTTGACAAAGGAGGGAGCCTCCACTGAGAAAATGCTTCCATAAGGTCAGGCTGTAGGCAAGCCTATAGGGCGTTTTCTCAGCTAGTAATAATGTGTGAATGCCTAGTCCATTGTGGGATGGATTCTATAAGAAAGCAGGCTGAGCAAGTCATGAGGAGCAAGACTTACTAGCAGCATCCTCCATGGCCTCTGCATCAGTTCCTGCCTCCAGGTTCTGCCCTATTTAAGTTCCTGCCTTGGTTTTCCTCACTGGACTATGACTCAGGATATGTAAGCCAAATATATCTTTTCCTCCCCAAATTGCTTTTGGCCATGGTGTTTAATCACAGCAATAATAACCATAACTATGACAAGAAGCAAACCCTCTGGCATTGAGCTTACTTCTTTAGGATTCCAGCAAATACTGAAGACCAGATGAGACATGCAGCCTTGTAGACTGAGTAACTACTGGATTCTTGGCCCTTCCATTCACAGGCAGCCACAGCTGGATTAGCTGGAAACAGCCTGTAAATAATTCTAATAAACCCCTTTCTATGTAGACAGATTCATACTATACAGTCTGTTTCTCTAGAGAACCCTGGCTAATAAACGCTCTCACCTATTTCACTGCCCACCAGCTGCCCTGCAGAGGGCCCCTCACCTTGCAGACTCACTGCTTGCTGGGAGCCTGCTACAGGCCCCTCCAGCTCCTCCTCTCATCTAGCACAACTCAGCACAGCCATGGACTCTGCAGTGGGATCCTTCCTTCTTTTTATTTGTTTTTTGGTCCTTTTTTTTCTAACTGCCCATCCAGTATTTTCTTCCTTATGATCCTCACCATCTGAGAAATGGGGAAAGGGTCTGCCTTCAGTCTTTAGCCCCTATGTGAGAGCCCAAGACACGCACCAGTTGTCAAAGTTGTACTGAAGGAATGGACAAATACACCTAAATATGTGTTTCTTTGGCGATTAGTGGGACCATGGCTCTTTTCACCATTCCACAGAATATGGCTGCTCTTTCTGCTCATACAAAAGGCCTACAATGAAATCATTAACTTTGTGCAGCCTGTATGTACTTGCTCAATAATGGCTGTTCTGTCCCTCAGTGACCCAATCCTGACGATCTGTCTCTCAGAGGCAGCCCCAGGACACACTCCAAGTCACATGCTCACTTCCAGCTGTCCATCTGGGGTAACTTGGTGCCTGCCTATCCTCACAGCTGGAGAGAGGCAACTGAGCCAGTCTTCCCTCTACTCACCCCAGCCACCAGTGCCAGCCCTGCTGAGACTCACCTGGACTGGACGACTGCCCAGGAAGTTCAGATCCATGTTCTCCCCAAAGAGGTAACCTTCAGGATGGGGGGTGTCAAATTTCTCGCCTCCCATGAAAAAGTGCGAAGCAAAGTAGTTTCCTGCTTAAAAAAAGAAACATGTAGCCAGGCGTTGGTGGTGCATGCCTTTCTTTAATCCCAGCACTCGGGAGGCAGAGGCAGGTGGATCTCTGTGAGTTAAAGAGACCAGCCTGGTCTACAAAAGCTAGTTCCAGGACAGCCTCCAAAGCCACAGAGAAACCCTGTCTCGAAAAACCAGAAAAAGAAAAAAGAAACATGTTTGTCCATAGAACACAGTGCTCAGCACAACTCTGTGGGAACAACCAACAAGCCCCCAAGGGCTTCATTCTGGTGGTTCTTTTTGTCCTGGTTCTGCCCTCCACCAGTCTTCTGTAAACAATTAGCATCTATAACATGCCTGCTCACAGATAGCAGCAGTTCTGGATTTGAATGTCACTGCCTCCAGGAGTCAGGTAAGCCATATCCCTAACTAAAAAGGCATGTTCAAGTTCCACCCTGCACCCTTGCTTGGAAACAGGTGGGGTCTTCGGTTGGTGTGGTTAGTCACGATGAAACCCCAGGGGACCAGGGAAATTCTATACCCAGTGATGACACATGTATGAAAGAGCACAATGTGGACACAAATGTACACAGAGAAGGAAGTGGGTGAAGATACAGGCTGAGACTGGACAGAAGAAGCAGTTACCAGATCAGATAGTAGAATGGATCGTCCAGAAGTCTAGAAAGGAGCAAGGAAGGACTCTCATTGAAGCCTTCACTGGATGCACAGCTCAGCAAGATCTTGATTCCTGATTCCTGGCCTCCAGAATTGTGAGGGGGCTCACAGCAGTGGTTTTTTTTTTTTTTTTTTTTTTTTTTTTGGTTTTTCGAGACAGGGTTTCCCTGTGGCTTTGAAGCCTGTCCTGGAACTCGCTCGGTAGACCAGGCTGGTCTCGAACTCACAGTGATCCGCCTGCCTCTGCCTCCCGAGTGCTGGGATTAAAGGCGTGCGCCACCAATGCCCGGCCACAGCAGTGGTTTTAAAGTCACTGCTGATGGTCACTTGTCATAGCTTCTCCAGAAATCCCCACATAATTCTTGTCCTCACACTGTCTGTTCCCTGCCTCCCAAATCTGAGTCACATAAACCTAATACCAGTGATGATCAAGATTTAAAATTTGATGTTGATCTGGATTCTTTCTCACAAGTACTGAAACGTTAAGTGGTATCCACCTAGACTCCAGAGCACTTAAAACACTAAACTTACAGGGCAGGTGACATGGCACAGTGGTTAAGAACACGTGCTGCTCTTGAAGAGGAGCAGGCTTGGTTTCCAGCACCCACATGGTACCTACAACCATCCTTAACTCCAGGTTCAGGAGATCCAATGCCCTCTTCTAACCTCTGTGTGAACCAGGCATGCATGTGATGCATATAACATACATGTAGGCAAAATACTCATATACATAATATAGAATAAATATATCTCAAAAATTAAAAAAAATTAAAGCCGCTAAACTTGCATTTCTCCTCTGAGGAAAAAGATGAAAGGCTTCAGATGTTGAAAGAATTGAACACACACACCCCTAAAGAAAACCAGAAGCCAGGCCTCTCGTAAACTTCCAGCCTGAGGCTAGCCCACCACACCCCAATACTCTCTAACACAGATGACCTAAGCAGAAGCCTAGATGACCATGGTCTCATGGATGCTAGGACTGTTCAGACTGCATATCCCTCAACTTAGTGAGCATCAGTAACTTCTGGGCCCCTAAATCCATGAGAGTTCTTCTTAGGGTCCCACTGGGAATTTTGAGCTTCTCTGGCAACCAGGAACACCCAACATGGACCTGTGTCTTTCCTGACAAGGCCAGTAAAGTAAGTAAGGGCCCAGGAGATAAGGTCAGGCAGCTCTTACCCAGGGTAGGAGCTCAGATCCAGGAGGCCAGCACAGCTGTCTCTGACTATAGGAGCAGCAGACAGAACCTAACCTCTATTTTAGTGCTAACTTACCATGTGTACCAGACAGTCAACTGCAGCCAAACAAAAAGAACAATGTGACGACTAGTTCAAAACATAATACTTGCGTTTTATAGATTGCCTCACAGTGCTCCATAAAAGACCTGCACATACTGGCATGGAGCAGAATGATTTATACATATGTAGAATGATGTGTGCTAGTAAGATCAGAAGAGCATGCCGCATGTACTCCTGGATCCTGCTGGACACACACACAACACAAGCTATGAGAACAAACAGAACGGTCTCAAAAGATATGTCTGAAAAGCTACCAGAGAAAGCCATGTGAGGTCCAAGAAAAGAACCAAAGTCCTGGCTTTCTGCTCTGCAATGGGTCTTTGCAATAAACATGTAACGTGGTGGTTTTGTCGATAATGAGAATGACTGCAACAAAGAAAAGTATGAGGACATTTTCCCAAATTACCTGCAGCCATACACAGCCCTGCTACTATAAAAGTACTGGCACATATGAGCACCTATAGGGAGAGAATCTCAAGGCATAGGTGGCTTCTGATCATGTCTGGCCTTGGCCTTTTAATCCTGGCCAACCTCTATTCATCTAACAGTGAGTGTGAACCACAGAGCAAAGGAGTAGGACTTTGACCAGCAGCTGCAAAACAGCCTTGTCTGTCCTCACATACACAAAACATCAAATGAATGGCTGCTAGGAAACTTGCCTGTGCTAAGATCCCTCTGACAGGCTGACACTGCACTTGCTGTTCAGCAAGAGATACAAAAGGAGGTGCAAGGAAGATGCAACTAGATGCAAGAAGTCCACTGATACCACACATGACTATGACCCAACACTTAAGTACCCTTGGAATATTCCACAGCAAGGGTAGCCTTGGTCTGAAAGCAGGCTTGAGAGAAGGCACAATGAGCACAAAAGCTGAGATGCACCAGAGCCCCAAGCAGGATATAGGTACATGGCTAGGAAACATCCTGCCCCAACCTCCTCCAGAGGTCCTTTAAGAAACAACCACATTGTGAACCCAGACTCCAAATACTGGTGTAGGAGCCAGCCTCCAAGATGGTCTCAAGTCCAACAGAACCCAGAGGAAACAGAGAAGGATGAACACATAACCAGACCCCCAGGCAAGACAGATGTTACCTGCACTTGAGCACATTCAAGCTGCTGTCCATGGGAAGGTGCTATGATAAAGAGTGGGGAACCCTGCTAATGACCCACATCAACCTGCAGGACATGTGCAAGCCAGCTCTCAACTCCATGGCAGCCTGCAAGAGAGCCAGGGCAGAACCACCTCCAGATGGTTCCCAGACTCCTGAGCATTCTTGTAAGCTGTTGAACATTTGGGGGGAGGGGGATTCAAAGCAGGGTTTCTCTATGTACACCTGGCTTTCCTAGAACTTGATCTGTAGACCAGGCTGGACTCCAACTCGGAGATCTGCTTATCTCCTAAATATTGGGGTTAAAGGTGTGCACCACCACTGCCTAACTTAGATATTATTATTAGTTTAATTATGTGTATCTATGTAAATATGTGCAGGAGTCTGTAGAAGCCAGGGGCCAGCTCCTCCTGGAGCCACCTGACATGAATGATGGGTATTGAACCTGGTCCTCCGGAAGAACACTACATGCCTTAACCACTGAGCCATCTCTGCAGACCAGCTGTTAAACTCTAAAGTTACATTGCCAGGAAACACTGGTTCTTCCCTCCTATGACCTTGGGACTCCCAAAACATTTCAGTAGTCACTACCCTGATCAAGGCCACTAGTATCCTACCTTCCAGGCTCCACACTACCACTAATCCACAAAGTCTTTCCCACATCTTAACACCACCAATGGGTTTTAAGCATTCTCTTCTCTACAACACTCACAGCCCCACGTACACCTCAAGACTCTGTATGTGCGCTCCCCTTTGCTTATGGAGCTCTCCCACCTGTCACTTCTGCACAAGGCCTCTTCCGACCACTTGCTTCTAACTGTAGCCTCCATCACCCACCTGCCTGCTGAGCACACCCTGCCCCTTGCTGTATTTTCCTTCCACAATGTCTTCAGTCCAATGGACCCTATATTGGAGGCTCCAAAGACTTACAGTTCTATATTTTAATTAACTTCAGAAAGTAAGAGGTAATAAGGAAAACAGTTTGCTTTGTTTATACTGTCACTGATCTACAAATAACATTTAACTTGTAAAACAAAAATTTCAAATGGTCTGAGATATGGGAAAATATGTCTGTCACAGCAATGATTATAATATCCCAAAATGCCAGGTGGTGGTGGTGCACACCTTTAATCCCAGCATTCAGGAGGCAGAGGCAGGTAGATCTCTGTGAGTCCAAGACCTGCCTGGTCTACAAAGAGAGTTCCAGGACAACCAGGGCGACACAGAGAAACCCTGTCTTGAAAAACCAAAAGTATATAATAATAATAATAATAATAACATCCCAGACTGCCTGAAGTTCTATCTAGAGTGAGATAATGATGATGACCACACAACTGAATATACTAGAAACCACCAACTAAATTTAGGAACTTGGTACATGGGTAATGTCCCAATAAAACCATTAGCAAGACTATATATAACTAGCAATTAGATGCTGTTGGGCTGCAGAGGGAGCTCAGCAGGAATCGGTTTGCCTAGCATGCTGGGGGTGGGGGTGGTGTTTGTCTCATCTCCTGTGTGCATGAGAGCACACGAGCATGTGTGCACAAAACTGAGGACATGCCTGCTCCGTGGAATGGTCAAGGGAAGGTTTTTATTGTAGATATGAGAGAGAGAACAGCCAGAGGCACAGAAAGAGTCCAGAGCAGAGAGAGAAAGCAGACTGAATATGGCCATGAGAGAAGCAAGAGCAGAATGGGGGGGGGGGGGGTGAAGAGGGAGAATGAGAAAGTGAGCACAACCAAAGTAGCAGGTTATGAGGAGAATGAATAGCTAGAGAAGGGAAGCCCCTGACGAGGGGAGTATAGAAGAGGGGAGGAGGCGAAAAGGGCTAGGATGCTAGCCTGGACTCTGAAAAGTGCAGGAGGTACTAAGATACAGGAGGGAGCCTGGAGGCTAGCACTGCTTTGATATGCTAATAGATACCACAGAAAGCCATC